TCTTCGTCTTCGATCTTCGTCTTGAACGGTTCGAAAGCTGGTCACGACACTCTTCCACGTCCTTACATGCACGAGCTAAGGGTAACGACACCCTTCATAAGCTATCAAGTACCATATCGTATGTGGAAAATCCCTAAAAATCCCTAAGAATCCTGCGAGAATCGCGGTCTTCGTGCATGGCTTGACCATGAATGAATTGGAACGCTACAAGTATATCAATAGGTGCCAAGCTGACTCAGTAATCGAGGTATACGGTAGCCAAACGCCTGCGGCAACTTTAATCAAGGCTCTCTGACACAGCATGTATGCCCAGAATGGGGCGCGGCCGCCTGCTCGCGCCGGCGTGCATAGCGGATCAACATACGTGCTGAAATGAGGCAGTCGACCGCGGGCTTGCAGGTTCCCCACATGAGGAGGCTTTTTCCGTTCGCTCTGGCACCAGTACGACTGACGGTTCAATGAATAAGTAAGAGTCACTGCATCCGGATCGAAAGCGGCAAGGCACAAGTCTTGGTAAGTGTCCGCATACCCCTGGCGAGTCATGGATCTCTAAGCAACAAAATTGCGCACTGCTGCCTTGTTCGAGTGTGCCTACTCGTCTGTTACGCAGCCATACTTTGCTGAGGAAACGTTCTTGATGTACTGCAAAACAACGAAACAAGGCGTTCGGTGAGAAGGGTCAAGTTTATCACAATAAGCCCTCGCGATACAAACTTCAGCTGGTTGGTGATTTGTATGCAGGTTGAGTCAGTAACTTCGCAGGCACCATCCAGCAATCGCCGTCGCTACAACTTACTTTCTGCGAAAATGATTGCTGGACAGATTACCCGTGACATGTTAGCCGTACCTCAATCTTGAAAAGCAAGCCATCGAAAGAGCTCCCTACAAGCCTTCCGGCAGAAAAGCGAGCAAGAAACTACATGTCACAGGACCGGAAAGAGGCAGAACAGGCAAACCGATACCTTACAACTGATCAGAGATAGTCAATATATTACCAAAGCTTTGTGGAATAAGTGCCAAGCGTACCTTGTACAGCGTCCCCCGAGTCGCCTTCAGCGGCGGCTCCGTCCACTCTCTTCGTCTCCGCTCTAGTTCCTCGTCGGAAACCTCCATGTTGATAGCGTTTTTGCTTACGTCAATCGTGACGACGTCACCGTCACGGATCAGACCGATCGGGCCGCCCACCTGCACCGACAAAGAAATAAGAGTGGGGCGTTGCAGTCTATCCAAAATTTATCCGAAGTCCAAATGTTTGACTCTGTCGGAAGCATCCGACACAAGGCGTCTGCGAGACGAAGGAAAAGCAGGATCAAAGAGATTCAACCAAAAACAACTTTGCTCAAATAAATGAGGTCTGCCGGAAAAAAGCAGAGCCTGTCGTGCAGACAGTTTCTTGCAAGCTTTGCCCAAGAGAGACGACGTCAGCATTTCAGAGAGGAGTAGAGAACTTCAAAGGCAGCAACGAAACTTGGTTTCAGTGCATTTCTATAGCGGCAAGAATAAAGGGTGCTGAGAACTAGATCGAGGGGCGCACCTGGGCTTCCGGAGTGATGTGACCGATAACGAACCCGTGCGAGCCGCCAGAGAACCGTCCGTCGGTCAGGAGGGCCACGTCCTGAAAAACGAGCGGAAAATTGTTTTATTCACCAGTGTGTTCACATGGGTTTCAATTCGGCTTTTGCATTCTAGTTTGTGGCCTGATTACTCAAAACTGATTACTCGTAGCTTCGAATCCTCTTTAGTAGAGCAAGATCCTTGCCTAAAGGGTAGTCGAACGCACACACTCGTGTTGGCTCAAATGTATTGACCTACATCCAACTTCAGCCCCTTAGCTTGCTGTGGGGTGTGTCAAGCGAGACGCAACCGTTGAGCAGACTGCAGAGGACTCAAGATTGAAGAAGACTGCAGGAAAGCATTTGAGTGCCAGATGTGGGCAACACTCATGCAAATCGGAAGAATAGTGTTTAGTGTAGGGTTTCAAGTGTGGGTTAAGCCTAACCTGACCAAGCCCCGCGCCCATGATGGCGCTCGTGGGCGTCAGCATCTCAGGCATCCCTGCAACCAAACACCGGGGTGACGTCAGCGACGTAGTGCTGGAAGGGCGCAGCTGACGTCAGTTGAGCACTTGCGAACAGCGAGCAGTGTTGTGTCGCTTCTCCAAAAGCACTCTCGAAGAAACGAGAAACGAAATGGTGCGGGTCTATCTATGCGGACAGCACTGTTACAAGCAGGTCAACAGCACTTGCCGCACGAACTTTCAGTCGCGCTCAGTGCAACTGGAATGTCCTTTCCATTTCCATTTTTGCATTCCCCGTAAAAGTTTAGAAGGAGGTCAGCATTGCTCTCCTTTTCTGAGTGCGGTTTCAGCGGAGGCTAGAATAAGGGTAGTCGCATTTTCTCGGTCTAGTCAAAGCGGTCGATCCAAACCCCCCATTCACATCTCCTTATCGCTTTCAGAACCCCTTACCATCAACAAGGGAGGCAAGAACAACCATAAATATAGAGCATGACAACCACTGCGCCTTCTCTCCGCTCAGCCAAGAAGCACCAGTTGTGCATTGATCGTAGGAAAAGTCCAAAAGAAGAGTCCTAAAATCGAGGAGCTGCATCGAAGCTCACCCGGGCCTCCTTTAGGGCCCTCCCCTCGGATCACAATCACTGCTCCCTTCAAGAAGCAAAAACAAGATCAAGTCAGATTTGCGCGAGAAATACTTTTGTCAAGTGATCGCCCACTATTCAACACCGTCTTACCACCTTCCTTCGAGATTGATCACCATATGGTTGCAAAGCTTTTCTTCTCTTACACGAACTTCAAACGAGCGCAGCTTGACTTCGAACCCTCGCTATGGTGGTTAGAGACAACGGCTATGCGCTTTTGACTGCATGAATCAAGCATGCACAGACTTCTTGGAACCAATTCCCAGCACTTTCCGAAAGAGCAACGCCAACATTATCGAGCGAGCCATTTACAAGGGATGCGACCTAAGCGAACAACAAACACTCTCGCCCCTCGACTTCTAGAATTGTACACTACAGTCCGTGAGAGCGAACGGGTTGAAACTTCGAAAACGGACCTTAAGGCTTTGCGCGTTTTCTGAGAGCGCGTCCACCATGGCCTCTTCACCCTCAAACACGCGCGCCGGCCCTGGAAGCAAAGCGACAATTCAGGTCGCGTTCGCGGATTCGCTCCCCTTTGAGATGCATTCCAAGCTTGAAACCGAGCCGGTGCGAACCTTTCGTAACGCCTCCTCAGAGACGATTTGCCTTTACTCACTGGATTCGTAGGAGCAACTTAAATTTGACAAACCACGACGGAAACCAATTTCTAGTACTGGATGTTGCTTATATTACGCAGAGTACAGAAGTAGGGAAATCAACAGGAGTTGCGACCAACAACCAATGGCCCATGAAGTGTGAATCGTTTCTTCGGTGCCTATTCTCACCTTGGAAGTAGAGCCCCTCCTTCCCGGTGATCTTCGCAACCGATCCCTCGGGCGCGAGGTTTCCGTACAGAATCTGAAGGTGGCCCGTCGACTTGATAGGATTGTCCAGCGGCAGTATCACTTGCTGCAGAAGATTACGAAAGAGAAAGTTTTCAGAATGCAGCTCACATGAGCGCATCCTTTGTTCTGGCGCTTGAAATTTGGAAGGCGATGAACAAACACGAGTATGCTTTCGTTCCTGAAGTGCTAAACAAGCGCTCGGGGTTCGCGGAATTGAAGGAGTGAGGGGCTCCCTCTCCTCTCAATGAGGTGCCATTCATTCCCTTCTCCCGCTTTACGACTCACGTTGACCTGTTTCCGCTTCATAACGCACGTTGACTTTTGATATTCAGGAATTGATTGCAAAAGGAAAGAGACTAGGGAGATACATAGATGAAAAGGGGCAGGTACTGGCGGCGCTTACTTGTCCTTCCGAAAGGGGCGGGCAACTCTTGAGGTTCTCGGCGAGAGTCTTTCCGGTGACGGTCATACAGGAACCGTCAATCATGTTGTTCTCGAGCAGCAGCTTCAGCACGGCGGGAGTACCGCCCACCTGATAGGAAGGGTCGCCTGGTTGGTTGTAACGCAAGACAGGGTTCCTTTTCTTTTGCGTCTCGTTCGAAGATGACAAAGCTTCTCCTGAATGATAGCCGGCAATCCAATACCGGAAAACCTGACGACTACGGTCGATCCGTCTTCGTTTGATTGGAGCGCGTCTCGTGATCTCCGAGCCGTTTCCTTCAAGTTGAAGCTTCCACCGTCCTCTCGCAACCCTGTCAGAATTGATACCTAGGCATAGCTGAGTGTGAATTCTTGTAAGAAAAGAGACCCTGTTGCGACGCTTTTTTGGGTTTAAAATGATTTCAAAGGAGCCGGTAACCAGATTTTGCACTGGCACTCCAAGTTAAGGCCAAGTCGGCTAAGTCCTCTCTCAGGATCACTTTCAACCGTCACAAGAAAAAAGATCCAACTCTTGACAGCCCACCTTATGCAGGTCCTCCATAACGTATTTGCCGCTCGGCTTGAGGTCAGCAATGAAGGGCGTCCGGTCGCTGACGGCCTGGAAGTCGTCAATGGTCAGATCGACGCCCACAGACCTGCGACAGCGAACAACGGGCGGAGTTTCGTAAGCAGACGGGAAGAGCAGTCTGGACTTTGCCGGAAGCAGGCACTACAGGGACTTTGGTGACGTTCTTGTGCCCATTGCAGTCTTTCAAGAAGAAACGGAACTCCTACACAGGAGAGTCTGTCGGGGTGTGAGAATAGATGCGAAAGTCTTGGGTGGAGTTGCGCCCAAAGGATGGGATGGATGCAACCCTAACACCCCGATACCTGATTTTTGCATCCTGCTTTGAGATCACCCGGCAATGGCAGCAACGAGCGCCATGCGTTTCTCGAGCGCCGCCTCAAAAGCCCAAAGCCCTAGAAGCTCAAAGAGTCCGAAGCTCTAAACCTCTGGTTCCACCTCTTCTTTATGAGAAATGAAACTAGATTTTCGATTCGAGAACTGAACGTGAGAATTCCTTGTTTCCGGAAGCCCACCTGATGATGGTAATGAGGTGCAGACCGGCGTTGGTTGATCCTTGGCGCTCTAGAAGCTTCAGGATTACAAAACCTCAAACCCCCACAATCCGAAATCGGCAAGTGTTCTCAAAACATAAAATCTACCTGGCAACGGCGATGAGATGCAGCACGGCGTTGGTCGTCCCCCGAGCGCCACGACGAGCACGACTGCACTTTCGAGCGACGCCCTAACAGCTGAAAATTCTAGAAGCTGCAAGAGACCTCGGGAACCCTACACCCCTAGACCCCCAACCCTTCCGAGAATTAGATTCAAGTAAAATCTGGGAAATGGACCTGACAGTGAGGAGTTCGACTTTCCAAAACCTTACCTGGCAATGGCGATGAGATGCAGTACGGCGTTTGTGGACCCCCCGAGCGCCATGATGAGGACCATCGCGTTCTCGAGCGACGCCCGGGTGATGATGTCACGCGGCCGGATGTTTTTCTTCAGCAGCTCCAGCACGACGCGCCCCGCGAGCCGGCATTCCTGCAGCTTCAGCGGGTCTTCCGCCGGAATGGAAGAGCTGCGGAATGGAGGAAAGGGGGAGCGGAATGTGAGTGGGAAGGAGTAGAGATGTGCACTTTGAGGAGTGCCCAACACTCGTTGACGGGTCTTCCGCCGGAATGGAGGAGCTGTGGAACGGAGGAAGACGGAATGGAGGGAAAAGAGTCGAGACGACAGTTGCGGATTGGACGTAGAGGGGAGAAGTGACTGGGGAAGTATGAGGTGGGCGCTTTGATGAGTGCCCATCGAGTGTCGGAGTTTCCGGTCAGGTTGAGTTTCCGGTGTTGGGTTTCCGGTCAGGTTTTGACACGTTTCAATTGACAAACTGTTTATGCACAAATAATTTGCCGTCCGGGGTATACTTGCCACTAAAGAGAGCTCTCCACCTTCGCTTGACGGACATGTAGACACGCTTCAACCGTCAGGCTCCTTACGTGAACGCAATTGCGAACTCCTCTATATGCTTCAACTGCTACAAACAATGCGACACTGAAATGTTGCACGAATATGCGGTCTTTTAAGCTGGCCCCGTAAACTTTCGGGACTACCATACCGACGTCGGCAATCCTGGGTTCTCCGCAGCCATTCTGGTGAGGAGCAGAGTACTGCATTCAAGAAACGCTTCATGCGCCCGATGCGCCCCCGGCCTACCTGTAAGGCAGCGTCATGCCCATTGCCTCGATTGCCGACGCCATGGTGTTTGCTGTGTACATGCCCCCGCACGCACCAGCGCCAGGGCATGAGAACCGCACAATGTCCTGGCGCTCCTTCTCGTCGATGGACCCCGCCACAAACTGACCGTAGCTCTGCCGAGAGACAAAGCACAACTTGAGCGTTTTAGGCTTCTGGAATTTCAGGGTCTTAGAGGTTGGCTGTCCTGGCGCTCCTTCTCAACATAGCCCGAAAACGAATCGACCGTAGCTCTGCACGGAAACGAATTTCCCGTGATCGATGTCGGCATTTTCGACGCGGAAGACTATTTTAGTGACGTCTCAGGTTCGGCAAACCTTGTTGTTACTGCTAACAACCCAGTATTTGCTCCTTGATCAAAAAGCGGAATTTGCGGCATGGCAGCTCATAATTCTCCATATGGAGATATTTTCCAGTAAGAGCAAAGCAGAGGGTCTTTTGAACAAATTTCGGATGTGGTGCGCGAGAGCTGCGTAGGATGGGCCATACAATCAAATGCCTACTCCTTTCACAGATTCTTCTGGAACGGCGACGGCTGGTATCCAAAGGTATGGAGCACGACACGCAGTCGAGGATCGTTTTGAAAGGAGCGCAATGGCTGGAAAGTAGACGGTGTGAGTCGCTCTCAAGGAGAACCCCTTACCTGGAAAGCGGAGACGATGTCTAGGGTTGTGCCGTCGGAAGAGAAGCCGGGCTGCAGACAAGAAGAAAACACGTGTCACTCTAAGCTGCAACCACAATGTGACAGGGCATGGAATGAAGCATAACACATTGAGACGAGACAAGAAGTCCTGTTTGGAGAAGAGGAAGAGGGTCGGAATGGAAACCCTCTCACTTGGCGGCTACACTATTATCAGGAACAAATTTTACGACATCGTTTCAGGACCCTGCTGTGTGATCATCCTGTGAGACCCTCGGCTGTTCTTGCGAATCCATCAAAACATAGACAAAAGTACAAGAAGAGGAGACTTGAAAATCTCTTGAGGATTAAGCAAGCATAGCGTCACCTTGATGGTGCCTCCGTAGACCATGAGGCTCGGCCGGTTGAGGCGGCCCATGGCCATCACGACGCCGGGCATCTGCGCAGAACATGCTCTTGTCGAATTCGTATACCTTACAAGACTGAGTCCTGTAAAGTTCGTACGCGGTAGATACTGGTATCCTGACATCCTAGACTAATGAGAGATGCAATGTATAGCCCTAGACTACGTAGAGATCGAAGGATCCTAGACTGAATTTCCTCAGCACGTGGGCGCTTCTACACAAGCACTCGTTCTGCATTGCACAAATGGGCCTAGGAAGTGCGATTGAACTGGAACAGGCGATTAAACGACCCGGCGTGTGCAGCAAGCATAAGCGAGGTTTCCAAAGGCACTGCTACATTCCCTTTTGATTCAGGTTGCCGAGAAGATTGTGACATGTTTGATGGATGCGAGTGATCTGGAAGCTAGCAACTCGAGAACATAGTAAGGAATTTGTCGACAGAAAAGAGAGGGTATGAATGAGGAAACAAGATCACGCGGAACGGAATCACACTTTGGTGGCAGAGCGTAAGCAGAACAAAGCAAACGATACGCCCACTCACGTTCTTGTCGCACCCAGGAAGCGAGATATTTGCGTCGTACCACTGTGCGCCCATCACTGTCTCAACGCTGTCCGCAATCAGGTCCCTACTCTGCAGACTGAAGCACATGCCTTCCGTCCCCATCGAAATCCCGTCGCTAACCCCGATCGTGTTAAATCTTAACCCGACCATGCCCGCCTCGTAAACCCCCTGCTTAACCGCCTCGCTCAACGCCAGCAGGTGCATGTTGCACGTGTTGCCCTCATACCACACACTGCTGATGCCCACCTGAAAGGGGAAGTTGTTACGAATTGGGTTAGGGGCCGAGAAGTGGGTTAGCAATGAGGCCTCCTGTGTTACATCTTTCCGGAGGGTCAGAGACATGTTGCAAGCAGTGTAGCACACACTGCTGATGCCCACCTGGAAGAAGATCTGGTTAAGAAGTGGGTATATCGGATAACGTATATCATGCATTAAGTCCTTACTGATGGTTTGGAGGTCATTTTCTAGTAGCGCGCGCTGCTAACGCCTGCAACTGGAGGGGCAGATTGGTTGTGAAGTGGGTTAAGATGAGGTTCAGGGGCGTCATGAGACATGTTATTAAGATACTTGTTACACGCGTTGCGCTCGTACCACATGATTGCTGATGCCCTCTGTTGATGCTCTCTGTTGAGTTAGAGAAGGGCTGAGGAGTGGATCACAAGCTAGTTAACGAACAAACTCCCTTGTGCAGCAATTCCCTAGTGGCTTAAGACCACGCCAGACTAATTTGCCTAACCAGATGGACTGATAAGACACTCTGAAACAGTGGGTCTCTGATCGAGATTGGATGGAGCCCCTCATCTAGATTGTGCGGGAAAGTTTTCCGGATGCCCTTTGTACTTTGCAGATGCCCTGCCATGGGGACCATGTACTCAGAACTGAGTTACAAAACGGGTTTACGGCCGAACCGGCTCTAGCCACGTTTGGGCCAGAGACTACCAATCTGCTCAAGTACCAAATCAACTTCCTGGCTTCTTTCACCAAAGACGAGGAGTCCTTTGAATTCCTGCCTGTTGTTCGTAGCCCAACACCCATAACGAACTTGACTACCAAAGCCCTGAGAAGCCATAGCTTCTCCTTACAAAGAAGAGAAATCCCTCAAAGCCCTGCTTGAAACCTGTAACCAGATTGACCGCAACATGGAAGGCACTTGACGCACCTGTGGCTTGTTCATATCCTCCTCGGTTAGCCCGACCCCATAGAGCTGCGCCTGGCTCGCCCCCTGGGACGCCGGCTGGGTGATCCGTGAGCTGTGCCGGTTGAGCGCCCCTGCCGTCTTGGGATCCGCATCAATGGTCACCGGGTGCGCCGTTGTGGTTGCTGATGCATCCGCTTGACACCTGTCATGTACAATGAGCTTGAATTGAGCTTTCAATGCACGTCTGGTGTGAAGCTTGACCACTGTGATGAACGATGGGAGCAAAGTGGACTTGCGGCGAAAGACGGCACGATGGAGAACAAACGTGGTTTGGGGGGTGAGGGTACGTTTGAGGGCAATCGGCCTATTATGAAGCCCCGCTGAAATAAAATGATATATGTTTCGAATTCCGCTGACGCAGTGTAATCAGGCGGTCAGTCGCAGGTAACTTACCACTGGCCACTGGCCCCTGGCCAACAACTGGCAAGCTCACAGCGCAATGCTGTATCAGACAGAGAAGGAATGGCAGCAACGCTGATTGCAACCAAGTGTTATAAACGAAGAAGGCGGAGGCTATGCTTCAAAAGGAAGTTGAGGACAGAGCAGCAACAAACTGAATGGAATTCTCGAGCAGTTTGAATGTGGCTTCAGAATGCAGATATCCTAGAATTCCAGTCAGCCGTGCACCCTTTCGAGACAAGATTGTCAATTCACTTGCCACTGCAACAGAGACAATCACGCCCACGTAACACAGGAAGTATCACAAGGAACTTAGACGCAAGTGAATTTGACAGAGGACTAAAATGTAGCACCACTTTTTGCTCTTAAAATAGCAGACCAAAGGTGACTTGAGTGTCCTGTTCATATTGGAGGGGACGGAAGCAGAATTACTTGCTGCAATCAGGGATGGCCTCGGGAATTGGCAACAGCATTATCAACACTAAACTTTTTCACCTACTTCATGAAAGAATAAAGATAAGCTCTTGGTAGTTTCGACCACCGCGCCATCAGAGACATTCTTCGAATCTGATCAACATATGGCCAATCCTAACAGCCTTAGAAGTCAGGTCCAATGCGTACAACACTTCTGCACGTTTGCATCTGCCCCAGAGCAAAGCGCCCAATCAACGGTATCTTTTCCCCCATTATTGGTAATGGTCGGAACAGAAGCTGCCAAAGGCGCCAATTTCCAAGTGCAAACAGAAAGTCTCAAAGTTGTGACTGACCGGGGCGCAGGCCGCCTGTGATTCCTGGCCATCAAACCGGGCGCCGCCACCAGTTTCTGCCCGACGAAGTTCGACGCCGCCACATTCCTTGGCGAGCATCTTGCGGCGAGCAGCGGGACGCCGCAGCGCGCCGCGGCGCACTCAGCAATGCAGGCCTCCATCTTTGACTGGGGCTTACTTAATGCGGCCAGAACCGTGCCGAAGGCTAAGCAAAGAGAGAGGTGAACACAAATCCAGATTGAAACGAAGATTTGTGAGCTCTTTTTCAATGCATGAGCACAATCAGGACTCTGGGACAGCTCAGACGCTGGTTGGCGCTGGAGGGTGATACCACTGTACCAGTCACAGTACTGTCGGAGTCTGGACCGGGACTGGGACAAAATCAAAGAGGGAACCGGTCATCATCGGAAGTACGGGCCTGGCCTCGGACCGTCACCGTTGCGTACCCGGGAAGTCATACCCAAAACAGTACTGCAACACTGCAACGTACCCGGTACGCGACTCCGGAGCCAATCATTGGGGGTTCGCTACGCCCGGTTTGAATCCCCGCTAGAGCACGCAACCGGTTGGACTTCGGACGCTGAGAAGCTCCCGGGTTACCTTCAAGTGACTGAGCTCGGACGTCCAATACCGATTACAAACCCTAAATTTTTGAGGAGGACATCAGCTTCCAACCTCGCCTGAAATCTGCGGGAAAAAGCAATCATTTCTTTCATTTCTGTCAAGACCCAACTTGACTTGGTAGAGAGATCAGGCGCTTGTTACAGGGCGCCAGGGCTTCATGCCAGGGGTCGTCATTTCGGCCACCTTTGCGATCTCTTTGCCTGACGTTGGGTCTCAACCATCAATCTGCTTGCTGCATGTGGAAGACCTTCTTGGAGCAGCCCGGCGGCCTTCTGGCCCTAGCTATGCCGACGTTGCGTCCCTATTGAAGGTCTAAAGAAACTGTGTTTCACCCAGAAGACTAGAGAGAAGATTGCCTGTGTATGTGCTCCCTAGTGGGTGCTGCCAGGAGTTCCCTTCTCTCTGTCTACGCTGGGAACCCCCGCCCGAACCCATCCCTGCAGCCATGCTACGTTTCGGCAGCCATGATAATGGTTGCCCTAACTAGCATGACGGGGCTCTGAACCGAGGCGTATGCTAGTCCCGGTGCTCCAGCTGATGAGCCCGGCGTGCAAGACGGTACACGACATTCCTTTCATTTCTGTGAATTGTACAAAGCGGGAGCTTGCTCCATGCAAGAGCTATACCTGGCGAATTTTCCTTCTCTTCAATCACCAAGGAAACTCCTAGACTCTGTCCTGATAAGAAGTTCCTGAGTGCGACTCGTCATCCTAAGGAGTTGTGCTTCAGCAGGATATCAACGAAGCAGGAATGGAGGAAGAGCTGGACACACAACCTTTTGAGCCAGTTCCTGATGACAACTACGAGGAAGACTTTGAGGACTACGAGGATGATGGCTTTGAGAGTGATGAGCCCGAGGATGAAGGTTGGGAAGCCAAAGTGAGCACGTTAAGGCTGGCTGCTGATGTTTCCAACTCTGCTTCACCTGAGCTCAGAAAAGCATGCTCTATGAAGCTCGGACATCCTAGAAAATTATCCATAGGCAGCTCAACGTCACAATTTATCAAATGTTTTTGTGCGCCCCAACCACATTGTTATATCGCGAGCTGCCTTGTTGACACCCGTTTGCTTGTTTAATCACAGCTGGTCTGCCCCCCTCAGAATTGAAGCTGAGAGCAGCTCAGTCAGAATCACTTGGAGTGGAACGCAGGAGCTCTTGACCTCTTGTGAAGAAAGTTAGAACCCCTTCCCAATGAGTTCCATGAATTCCCTGTCATCTCTTCCAGTGCTTGCCCTAAAAGGATATTCTTCCCTCCAGGGACCCCCCCAGGCTGAGACCACCACCCCCCCAGCCCCAACTCATGTTTCCCCACCCCCTCCCCCGACCTATGCCCAAATCACAGCCGGCAAGCGCATCGTCGAGTCCCTTCTCAAGGCGAAGTCCCAAACCCTGAACCCAGCCCTGACAATTGCGGCTTCCGCCAGAGCCAGGCGATGGGCTCTGATTCGTCCAAAGTTGACGGAGGTCGTTATGGCGCCCATACTAGATATGCCCCCCCGGACGTTGTCCGAGCTGCTCGCCTCTGGTCAGGGGGCGGCCGCGCGACTGGCGGTCAAAGGCGTCCAGACCCCACTAGAAGATGAGATACGCACGGTGGATGTGCAGACAGAGGAGGTGGGAACGTTCGAAAGTGCGGCGCAGTACAATGTGCGAGATCTGGTTACAAAACGGGTTGAGGGGGCGGTTAAGGGGCAAAACGGTCGGCTGGCTGGATTGCTCGAGCGAGCGCTCCAGGCGTTGGACCAAGGGCGGTTAGGAAAAACCGGGTTAGTGGACCGGGTGGTTAGCCTGATGAACCACCCCCGGGTTCAGAAGTACCGGGCAGTGCAGGAGATTCTGAGCTTTGTAAAGAGCGCAGTAAGGGGGGAAGGAGCGGTGGCAAACAAGGGGGGGGGGGACGAGGAGAAGCAGCTGGCAGACCTCTTGGAAGAGGCGCTGGAGGGGGGGAACACAGCCAGGGGGGTGAGATCCTAAGCTATTCTTTCCTTGTTCATACTTGAAACGAGTCTGTATTGACTGGGACATCTTTGTCCTGCGGTTTGGTTTCGAGGAAAAAGATATCCAGAATTTGCATGGGCTGTGTAAGAAATGTGGGTCGTTTGATGGCTGCATCTACTTTAGCAAACGGCCCAAAACCTGCTCGACACACATGGAGCTTGGCGCAGGTGGCTAAGGTCAACCCCGACCCGCAAAAGAATGGATGGTTCTCGTTATCATGTCTCAATACCCCGTGTTCTCGAAGGCAAGCTGCCTGAAAAGCGGACTTCGGGAGTACTTGACTTGCTCTGGCTCAACGTTCAAATACTTACAGAACTCTTGTGTGACTTCGTCGTTTAGTTTCATCGCAAGCATAGTTCCGACGTGGTAGCAGTAGGGCGTCTCGAGAGCACACTCGATCTTGTGAAATCAGCCCACTTTCTTTCGTTCGACCTGACTCCAACATGTGATCTTGGGAAGGAACCTCTAGGAAGGAGTATCAAATGCTTGCGGAATGCGAAAGGCAGGCAGCCATTGAGTTGCGGACCGTTTCTCATGTCTGCCGCCACAGAACTTTGTAAGTCATGCCCAAGGGAATTGCTTGCTGTTGTCTTCTCGAGGCGAGTCTGCTCTGACTTGCTTCTCCGATCGGCCCTTCTTGACGGGTTTTGGACGCGTTCCTTCCATGTCCTTTTCTTTTCTTTTCTGTCATTCTTCATTTCCACATTCCCCCTCTCATCAGAGACGCCCATCGTTTTTAGTTTCTCTGACCTGTTCATATTTTTTGTTTTCAGGACTCCACCGCCGACGCTCCGGATGCTGCCACCAGCTCGCTGTACCATGAAGAGCTCCTCCGTGGGCGTCCGGTGGTCGCCGTCTTGTTTTGTCCAACGTCCGAAACCCAAACCCAAACCCAGCCCCAAACCCAACCCCAAACCCATCCTCCCCTCCTCCTCTGCTGCTACGCTCCCTCCAAAGAAGCGAGCGTCGCGCCCCGTCTCGGCTGCCTATGCGTTTGGGACCCTTCCAAACCGTCCCGGCCTCAGAAGGTCCTGGTGTGCGAAGGCACCCCCTCTAGTTGTTGCTGGGCGCCTGCCAAATCCGCCCCTGCCGAAGAATTCGGAAGAAATTCCGGCTCGAGCCGTCTGGTTGTCGTGGGCACCGGGTCTGGCAGCCTCGCCCTGTGGGATTTGAGCGAACCAGCGGGCCAGCACCAGGGCGTAACGCTCAGTCAGGGCGAAAGCCTGACGTTACGGCGGCCGTCGTACATGACCGACTGGCGGCCGGAGGTTAACCACGGCGCCCGGGTTTGCGCGGTCAAGCTGCAACCGTCTCCCAGTAGCGACGACAGAGCTGCTAAAACGGGTCATCGAAACGGGTTAGAGAGTGGGTTGGGAGCTGGGTTAGAGAGCACAAGCGGGCCGCTCGCACAGGTCCTCAGCTTGGACGTAACGGGTTGGTTAAACGTCTGGTCAGCGGTACCCGTAACCGAGTTGGATGCTGCTGTTATCGACACCGATTTTGGGCTGCGCCTCGGAAGCAAAGTCCGCCTTTTGAGAGTTGCCGCAGTCGACTGCTTCTCCGCGACGCCCCCCGGCCGAGAATTGGGTTTTGAAACGGTCAGGCAAACCGCCGTCGGGTTTGCGGCGGTGCCGGGGGATCCCTCTCAGTTGCTCGTGGCCACCGACGGGGGTTCCGTCATCCGTGCTTCGCGCTTCGGGCTGCCCCCTAGCAGCCTGCCGCACCCGCACAGATTCGCGCGTGGGGATGATGACGTTAGCGGGCGGTCGCCGACCTCCGTGCTGACGTCAGCTGCGCGGAAGCAGGCTGGCGTCACGTGCCTTCAAGCTGAGGGGGAGGCCTTGTTGGTCGGACACTCGGACGGTGTGATCGCTTTGTACAATCTGCAGTCCAAGTGGCCGGTTAGGCAATGGAGGGGGATCATCCGCGGAAGGCTTTGGGGTTTGAAGTGGTGTCCCGGTCAGCCGTCCTTATTTGTCGCGCTCGACAGCAAGTCCGTTTTGTACTTCTTCGACGTGTCAAGAGATGAATTGAAGCCGTTAAGGACGTTAGAGATAGGTTCCCGGGAAAAGGAGTGGACGGGAGAGGCAAGAGTCGGGTGCTTTGACCTGCGCGCTTTGGATGCCGGATGGATGCTAGCCGTTCCGCAGGACACTGGTGTCACTGTCAGGCGAATCGACAGATTGTGACTCAACATTGATCGATCTAACAAGAAATTATGAATACATTGCAGCGCGCGCGACGATGGAGTGCGACCTCAGATTACGTGTAAATGATTGAGCAGCGCGAGTGGCAGCCGCGTACGTCCAGATCCGACCGCTTTCGTTGACCACCGAAGTCTGTCATTTTGTGCCTTGGATCAATTCCTCTTGCATAGGTCACCAACCCGAATCACGTTACATGCACATGTCGGATCGACTCATATGCAGGCTTCAAGTATATTCAGCATATTCAGGCTCATGCAACTCAAGACGGGAAATTAAGTAACTTTAATTGCCACCGTGCCCCTTGCAAGCGTGAGAGAGCGCCAACGACAGCAATGCAAGGGTTATTTTGTAATTCGCACGCATTCCAACACGTTTGATCATTGACGGTCATGACAAAAAGTGGCGGCTCAGTGATCCAAATAACATTATAAGCGTCACCGCTGCTTTGGGCTGAACAGAAAAGAGACTGACTTGCATATTTGAGGTGACAAAGGTTTTACAATCTACCCACCCCGCATTGCCTGGACGCTTCAATTGTCTGCGAACTCGTTCGTATCAACCCTACTATGCCCTTTGGACTTCGTATAACTGCAACATACTGATCGAGTCGGCAGAGATTTGAAAGAAAAGATGAACATCTAGACTTTGGGGGAGCTGCGGGTCTTCGGGCGATTGACCACGGGGTTCTCTTCCGGTCCCCGCTTCTTGTTCTTGGACTCCTTCCCCTTACGAGCATTGGGGTCTTTCTTCACGAGCCACCCGATGCAAGGCGTGACCCCACGCCCGTCCTCTGTGACCGAGACGCCGCAGCTTCCGGCTACGAGCAGGTTATCCGTTTCGACCGGGGGGCGGACCCGGGCATCTCTTATGATGAACGGGCATTCCACCAGGCCCTTGGGCGGGTTGTCTTCGAAAATGTTCTTGCGGGGAAAGGTCTTTCCTTTCTCCTCGTCATACGGAAAGAAGGCGCAGACCCAGCCGGTGATGTAATCGGGGGATGGCCCCGAACGATACCCGCTCGTCGAAAGCACCTGACTCCACCAATCGTGATCCACGTTTCCCCGGTAGGTCGCCATCAGCTGCTCAAGAACGGGGTCCAGCTTGTCGAGCCACCAGTCCAGGCCGATAGAAAGCGCCCGCAGCGCGCGCGCTTTCTCCACGAGACGGCTCCAGTCCTCCAGCGTTCCGTGCAAGGTCACCGACGGAATCCCGCATGACTCGACGACGCTGTCCCATGCCATGCCAAGAAGCACAATGTATCTGAAGTAGTGCTTCATGGAGTCCATCACGACAATCTGGCTCGCGGTCTGGGAGACGAGATCGGTCGTGGAGAAGTCGTTCACCAGAACCTTGCTGGTGTCTCCTTTGACACGGGACTCCAACCCAGTTTGGAAAAGCTGGACGCACTTGGGCCATTCGAGCAAGGTCGCGTCCCCTGCAGAGAAAATTCAAAGGGATGGCTTGAAGATACTGACGAGAGGGATTTGCAGCGAATGTCCATAACAAAGCAAGAAAAAAAGCAAGCTCAAATATAGAAGTTGCAAGGGATTTGGATCCGCCGCTAGTAACGGGCTTCTGAGATTTGTCAGAACGAAGTTTCGAGGCTGTCACCCTAGCATAAGGTGTGGCATAGCAGGAGAACTAGTACTGTGCATAGACGCAACTTAGGATACACCCAAGATTCACATCAATCTCAAAGTCCTCACATATTGCTTGTTTCAATGAGCTGCCTGCCGCTTTGTTTTTGTTTCACATGAGCTTTAGCTTTCCAATGGTCTCTCACTTGAAAGACAGGACAAAGATCACTCAAGATTGGAAATGATCTCATAGAACGTCCGTGGGTCAGGTCAAGGACCAGTCAAAAGTCTTTCTTTCTCTCGTCCAGGGGACAATCTTCACTCAATGTCTCATTCGACTTGGACTTTAGCCAGCTTTGCTAGCCTTTAAACGGAATTTGAACTCTGAGCGTGTCACTGCTCTTGAGGACCTTCTGGCTCCATTCCATTCTCAGGGACCTCACAATACCAGAAACAGTTGAGCTCAAATGCGAGAAACCTTCTTTTCATGCTAGTTCTTGCAAGAAACTTTGATCAACTAGCGTCGGTGGAAGCCTTCTCTTGAACACCTCAACCTCAGCCTCAGCCTTAATTGACCCCAAAAGAGAATCCATGAAAGCAATTTGTAAATCACTCTGGAGATCACTCGCCTGTTAGGAAGTCCGTGCAGTCGACCACAATGTCCTCCTTCCCCTGATGGTCCACGAAGACATTCCTGTACTTTTCAGCGTTCTTCTCGTGTGAGAGGTGCGCACTAACACCTTGAGCTATAGCCAGCCAGATGTCATCCGGCCTCAGATGAAGGCAGTGGCCTCCAGCGTAGGCCATCTCAATGGCTCCCAGAAGACCACTCTCCAACTTGTGAAACTTGCCAGCCCCGCCTTTCACAACCATTGCCTTGGAGCAATCAAAGACCTCTGCATCATTAAACCGCTCGTTGTTAGGGTGCCCTTCCAGGGTCATGTGTTCACGCAGGCTGTAAACCAGCACCTCCCGGAGCTCTGGTTCTTGTGAGGGGGAGTGATCAGGTTGCGTGTATGGCTTGAGAGGTTTGGCTACCCTGTGGGACGCCACGACCTGCGTGCTGCTGCTTTGTTGAGCCATGATGTCTACTGTACACATGCTCGTGCGTCTCTGCAGCGGAGAGCCCTCTTTGATGCGTGCAGAATTAAGCGTCTGTGTTTGTTCTGCTTCAAATATCATAGCTCCATAGTAGGTTTAATGCTTGTGTTGCACGCGCGACGCGTGCGCTCCGCGCGCCGCTCTTCGAGTCCGGGTTTCTGGGTTTGGATTTGGACGGGGTTGGACGCGCAAAGTACGCGTGCAAAGCGTATGTCCAACGAAGCTAGTGTGTCCGCTGGCCCGTGGTTTTGACAGAGCGGGCGGCCGCGCTGTTTCGGTACCCGCCTGCGCGTGCTACTACTTTCGATTATGTAGGTACACTCGCCAGAGGCGAGGGGCCTCTGGCGAAGACACGCATTGCCGATTGCAACAACCCCGGGATACTGGGTCCAGCGGCGCGCATGAGCAGTGGACTTCGACACTCAGCAAACGCGGTGCCCTAAGGGATCAAACAAGAGAACTTTTGTGGTGGCTTTACTACTAGCGACAGTAGATCGAAGGAACGCGCAAGCATCTTGCGGAGCCGCATGCTATGAATTTGTTCTCCTTGCTTCTTTTTGATGAAAAGATTAGAACTTGCTGCATAACAGACAAAGAAACATGAGGTCTGAAGCTGGATCAAGTTTTGCAAAGCACTGCGACCAGTGCTGTGTGCGGGGCCCAGCTGAGTACCTAACAAGCAGCACCTGCAATTCTGGCTTTGACATTCCACTCGACGTCGTCATCCAAACAATTGCGCGGCTGTGTAAGTGTGCGTTTGACTTGCAGATTTTTATCCAGAGATGATCATTCTGAAGCATGGATCATCCTACTTTGATTCAAGCAGCTCTTCCAGCTCTCAGTACTGATTTGGCCACTATTCTCCTACACATAGTAGTTGAGCTCTGGGCCCGATATAATGTTGCTGTAGATTGTTGTTGCCTAAGTGATGAGCTTTCTATTTGCTGCAGATAATCGTGAAGACGATATCGCATTCCGGGAGCATTTGAAGAAGCGACGTCGTGAGCAGGACGAGATGTTTGAGTACTTTGACCGTTTGAGGAGGATTGCGCAGCAGCCAGAGAAGCCCGATATTTTGGACCGAGGTATGTCGGTTCCGGATAAAGATGTCGACCAAGGCGAGGCTGAATCTCTGCTCAACTTCTCGCGGGTTAGTCAGGAAAGGAGATGTCAGGAAAAGACGAAGACAAATGAAGCTGCCTTGCCCGTGACTTTTGTCGATTCCTAAGGTTCTTCCCTATGTGATCTAAGGATCGATGCGCGTGGCTGCACAGACAACCTTATCAAGATTCAGCAACGTTTGATTTTATCTTATAGTAGGGAGACAACTATTGCACAAAATTCCTCCACAAATTGGATCTCAGGGCAAGTTTCCCTCTCTGCAGTTTTCGCATCCGTCTCGAAGTTATGGTCTAATATTAAAAGCAGTCTGAGAAGAAGGCGGAAGAAGCCTCCTCCTTTTGCACCCTGCCCCACCTTCCACCACCAACGCGCTCATTCTGAATAGTCTGTCCTTGGAACTTGGACGTAGTGTTCGATGTTAGACTCTTTGCTTCTTTCCTCGCTGCAACAATGCGCGCGAAGTACCGCACATCGCTTGTGAGTCGTCTGTTTGTCTCTGCCCAGTGGCCTTCGAAGCACGTCGATCCAGCAAGCAGGAAGATGGCACTGGGTGGTCCACTTGGGTGGTCAACTTGGGTGGTCAGATACTTCGTAGAAGCAGTGTCGTAATTGGCGCCGGATTTTCTGACGCTTTGGTAGAGGAAGTATCACTCTTTAGAGCCGTCCGACTCTTGTTAATCGCTTTTGACGTACCTGCCAGCCTTACTCTAATGTGCTTCATTGTTCTATTTATCAATCTGTTGATAAGAATGATTCGACCCATGAAAGGCTCGTCGATTGCTGCGCGGCAAGGAGCTACTAAACCATCAGGATCGTTGTCCGATCATATTGAATCCTAGGCTAGGCGGACCCATAAACATATTGAGCGACGAATATCAGGCCACAGAGCATCGAAGCACATGTGCGCCCGCTGATCCGATCAGCTGGCGCTTCGTTCGACTGCGCACTGGTACGTGTAGTTCAATATATACGTATGTTGCACATGTCGGATTCACTATCAATGTCGATGTCCAACATTATTAACCATGCATGGCGGGATTCAGAAACAAGCTTCATATAGAGGAAACGGCCGCCTTTACATGTACAAAATGCTTGCAGCGGGTAAGTTCGAAGGAGGCTTCGATCAGAAAAGCCAATCCATGGTTATATATGCTGAAAGAGCAAAGCTGTATAGCTATTTCGACATCGCCAGAGCTATTCGTATGTGTTCTTTTGGCACAACGAGCTTGCCGCGCGCTTGAGTGATACTGGTGAACCCAGCTATATATGCATCATTACGAATAAACATTTTCCCATTTCGGCCGCATGGCTATGGACAGTGCGCCATGACATTCGCATCATAAACCAGTACACATCCATTCACGATAAGATGCAACAATGTTCCATGAATCAATGCATTCCTTGCGCAAATATTATGTCACTGCCGATACAATCAAAAGATTGCTTGCACAAAATAACTGTTGCGAAGCAGACAGCACCATACCAGGGAGTAAATTAGGAGAGGATGCGTTCAGGCTGTCAGATCGAATGTGACCTTCCAGGAGGGAGACAGCCAGCCAAAAATGGAACCTATCGTGGCTTCTTCAGTGCTGGGCTGGCTGGAGGTGTCCACGTCAGCTTTGCAGATTCAATCTTTGGAAGAGGCTGGTGGTCGATGGCCTGCAACGAAGCAGACAGACATCTGTCAGTGTGCTTGACGTGTCAAGGAACCAGGCAATTTTAACAGCTCAATTAACAGCTCACCGCATTGTACTGCAGATTCGGATTGCCCTTAAAGCATTCTGCAGGGGGAGACTGCAGCTCCTTGAGACTGAGGCGGAATCTCGGTAGTCTGAGTCATCAGAGATATGGCCTAGAGATCAGCGCTGACCTCGACCTGTTGATGCAGCAAAATGAGCAACGACTACTGGTGGCAAAAGGGACGTTTCGTTCGCGAGGTGGACTTCCGTGGATCGGAAAGCTCCAAACAAATCTGCTATTTATCGCTCGTTTGCGGCACAGGCTGCTCACCTTCAGATGCTCATCAATCAACTTGACGGTGGCGGAGATGATGTGCTGGCCCTTCCAGTACCTACAGCCAAGCGGCCCGGTCAGTTTGGCAGGATATCCAAAGCCCTATTCCCCTCTGACTGGATTGCCGGACTCATTGAACCCCTCCGACCACGGTTCAGATCACTTTTCGGCAACTTCATTCCTTGATACTGTACCGCCAGTGATCAGGACTCGCTTTTTCAACGTTGGACTGTGCAAAGTAACGACACAACAGCAGGAACGAAGAAGGACTACATTGGAAGAAGAGAACTCTGACACGAGGCTCACTGGCTCTCCGCAAAGCATTCCGCGCTCCCCGAAGCAGGCCAGCTGTGATCCGGAATCACATCCTGGCACGCTCCAAAAAGGAATCGGGAGACATTTCGAGGCGCTCACTTGATGAGGTTGAGGGGCTGGAGGGTCGCCACGATGTCCTCGGTCTTGATGGCGGTGAGCGCGCTGATGTCCTTGACCGAAATGTTGGCGCGGTGCTCCTTGATGATCTCCAGGATGACGCGCATCCAGTAGCTGCGGAAACTGACCTGCGGGGCCGCAAGGGGGACAAAATTGAGTTTGACAAAACAAAGTTCCTCGGAAAGGGTACTCAGCGAGGGCGTCTTGGTTCAACGAGTATGAATTTTCGAGATCCGGATCTGACTAAGTCAGTGGCTACGAAAGGTTCATGGCCGATAGGGACATCATGGGTGGTCAAAAGTTGACTTAACTTCCAGACTAGCAAGGATGATAATCTTGGCACGTACGGAAGGGCCGCTCGAGATAGAAGCCCGCTGCTAAGTAGTAGCAGGAATACCAGGTTGCTCGATACATTCCTTCTCCTGTACTGCTGAGTCTACCGAAAACAGCTCTCCTTGCTCTTAAGAACTCTCTATCTCTGAAGGAGCGCTTTCCTCTTCTAAGCGAACACTCCTGAACGAGGGTCCACCTGCTTTTGTTGACATTCCTGTCCTTGCAATTCAGCACATACCGACATTCTGACAGCAGCGTAACCCCTCCAATATACTGTTCCTAAATATCTTTGGAGGAGCTCGTTCGACTCGCTTTAATAAGCAGACTCAAAGCAAATGAAGAGCCAATCAAAACCAATCGTCCTATGTGTATCCAATTGAAGAAAAGTCGGCTTGAGGAGGGGCGGGAGCTAAAGAAGGGCGGAGAGCAGAACTAGAGAAGCGAGAAAAGCAGGCGCCGAAAGCACAGAAGGGCTTACCTGCCCAAGGTCTGAGAGCGGACGCTCCGGCGTGCCGACCTTGCCCTCTTTTCGAGAAAGCTCGTATGCTGAAAACAAAACTGATCTGCGTCAGCCGATGCTCATGCAATATCGGCTCTTGCAATCCTATGAGAACCGGTATGTCAGTGGCGATGAATCCAACCATCTGCCCGTAAGCACAGACGGGGAACGGAGGACACATAAGAAGCTCGCAATCGGGGTGCTGACGAGGAGTCCATTGGCCTGCACTACTCTTAACAATCTACGGCTTGTGTTTAACATCCAGCAGCCTCTTAACAATTGGAAAACAGTGGTGATCGACCAATTTCCTCAAAACGAGCCACAATTATGTGAACGCGTGATTCGAGAGTTGACAAAGGACTTTCCCCTGAGTCACGAATCTAATTTGGTCGCAAACCGTCACGAACTACCGTTCGAAGTAGGAAAAGCGACCGTTCCTGGTTGGCAATGGGTGACGGGGACTTACAGAAGGCAATCAGGAAGCGCCCATAGCCATTCCGTTGATACGGAGGCAGCGTCATGATGCAGGCCAGGTTGTACTCCTCTGCTGAGTGCTTCTCCTGAGATGGATCCAGAAGGAAGTTTTAAGGGACAGTGCGAAATCTCAAAGTCGCTCATGAGACTTTCAAGTGGATATAGCAACTTCAACAAAAATTATGCAAGGAAAGGAGCTGAGATCCGGTAAAGCCACATAACTGTGTGCAGTTTCTGGGACCACAAGTTGTCCCAAAAAACGCGGTGGGAGCACGGGCCATGTCAAATCAATAAGATCCGCAAAAGCACTAGGGGTCCCCGGTGTGAAATGCTCCTGGCCACTCCTTCAGCACTACTTGTTCTGAAGCTGATTCCGTTTAGCTTCACACGGTCTTCACAAGCAAAACTGACGAGCAGGGCCACCCAGAAAGAGGTGCTGATTCCGTTCGACGAGCTGATTCTGTCCAGTGAGCTGATTCCGTTCCCTGGGCTGATTCCGTTCACTGAGCTTATTTCGTTCACTGGGCTGATTCCGTTCCCTAAGCCGATTCCGGTCACTGAGCTGGTTCCGTTCAAATTCGTGGGCCTCACCTTCGAGAAGTAGCCGACTATGTGGTGTCCGTCTTCGTCGCACTCGGTGAGCACGTAGAAGAGGAACGGGTCGACGTCGTAGTAGAGCGTCTTGTGGTCCAGGAACAGCTTGGCCAGCAGACACAGGTTCTGCACAGAATCCGGAGAAAGGCTTCAATGGGTCGATCAAAGGGGAGGGATCGAGACGCTCGAAGGAAACAACGACTCGCTTCCTCGTCCATGCAGGTTTCCGCTAAAACGTGCGGAAGAGTGCCAATGCGAAGTATCTCCGACATAATGAGGACCGTCGGCTGTGGAACCGGAAACCTTTACGCGAAGGCAGAACTAAATTTCCATTAAATAAGTGTATAAGTAATTCAATATGCTCTCTTTTGTAGACAACAAACCTGTACGCGAACAGGGTACAGCGCTCCGGTTTTTAAGAAAGGTGCAAAACCGTAGGTGCTCACCCAGACCGTTGAAGAACATCGCTCAAAAATCAATTTCCTGCCTGCCTCTTTGGATTGTCCTGCCATGTTCGGACTGACGAACGACCGAACAGGACGGAACAAGGAGATATTGAAACTCGTGTTGACTACATTCTGTGATTTACGGGGCCGAACCACCCGCCATCTGAAAGCTAGCCGCAATAAGTCGCAACGGACGGATATATGTGTATGTGATTCGCCTCCCCGCCCCCCACTGTATCAGAAAGCTCTTGGGCGGTTGCACAAATAGGAAATACTCCTCGACTTCGAGCCTATGGCCACACGAAGCAACAAAGCCACACTATGTAACATATGTCGCATATATAACAAACCGAGCAGGTAAAACGCAGACCAGGGGCATCAGCGCGGAGTGACGTCACTCAAGAAACGAAGAGGCTCTTTTTAAGTGCTGAACGCTGCCATTGCTCGCTTGACCAGTAAACCTCGTCCTTCACCCCGTCCACCTGACATCGTCATTCCGAAAGCAAGGGGCGAAGAAAACGTACAAGAAGCATCTCAACCCGCTAACCATGGGAAACTTGAGAACGACAAAGATTCCTCGCCGCTCACTTGACAGTAGACCTTGTTCTTAACCCCGTCCACTTCATACATCGAAAGAGTCACCATGTTTTTCACGATGGGTGCCGGGCTCCGTTCCCGCCGCCCGTTTTCGCCCTCCGCTTTCGGCAACCTCGACCAGATTGGGTAGTCCGCATGGTAAATCTCCTCGCCGGGGGGCCGGTGCGTCGTGCACTTCTGGAGGTGCGCTTGGAGCGTCTTTGCTTTGCGCATGTATTTGAGGCAGTATTCGCATATGTACAGCTTTAGCTCGGAGGCGTAGTCATCTGGGTAGGGGGAGTAGTACCTGCAAAGAGGTTCTGTGGATTTACGGATGGCAAAACAATTGATTTCGAGTCTGGCTGCAAAGGCGTCGTTGAATTGCGATTCGGATGCGGAGAATCGTTGCTGTGACCTACGTGACATCGGCTGACATGTTATCTGTTAAGAGCGTACAAAGGATCGAGGGGTGTCTAGATGATGGAAAATGGTCAAGCACCGAGGTTCAAACACAAGCAACTCTGTTGATTTGAACTCGACGGTTCGAAAGTTGAGCTGTATAGTTGCCAGATAGATACACTAATGTAAATCATGGCTTTCGCTCAGACAGAACTTCAAAATTGTTACTGATTGACATTGAAGTCGAGAATCTGCAAATAGAGGGCAACTCTCAACCTTAGTTCTCAAGGTGTACCACTGAACCAATAAGACCTCCCTCCTTCTGACCGAAGCTCGTACCCTTGAGTAGAGAGCATTGGAGAAATTGAAGCTCACCATGTATCTATAGCGTGCTTCCCAACAACAATCTGCTGGATGTTCTTCATCTTCGTTTTCTCTTCATGCGCTTTCTCCAAGCTTTGGTCGATTGGGGGGAGGTCTTCAACGCTCTGCATCAGAAAAAGCATGGAGGGTGTCACTTCGGCTGTAAACAGACAGGCCTTGGAACTGTCAATACTGACTTGTGATCGCTTGAAAGTCTACGAACTTCTTGCCCTGCTGACACTATCTTTGAAGGCAATCTATCGGGGCCGTCCGCACCATCACAAAGTTCAGGCTTTCAGCACAATTCCCAAGCTGGAGGAATGCAGTACTGCGTGAGACATTCCGAAGACGAATATCGCCACAGATGCCTGTCCCTCTTCACCCTTTGTGGTCATCTAAAGCGACTGAAGTTGATGCTACCTCATGTAAAACCGAGCAACTTCTGCCTTCCGCTTACAACGTACATCTAAAGCCAAAGTAAAGAACACTTGGCTTTGTACCTTCTGGACATGGTGTTCTGCATCATACTTCCGCTTCAGATTCCGCGTCAGCTTCCGATCACTCCCCCCCGGAGTGAAAGGATCCGCCTTGTCCCCTGCAGAGTAGCCCGGAGTGCCGGGGGTGGCTAGAGGAGAAAGGCCGAAGCCTGTTCCCCTGCCACTGAACTCCGCCGCTGTCCAGGGCTCAACCTTGCTTGGAGGGAGCCACTCGTCCAGCCGCTTATTTTCTGAGCAAGGATTGGAGATCACGTTCAGCTTCCTCCCCAAACGTCTAGCAACACGTGTATCATGTTCAAAAGAAAGCTCTCAGAAGCTGAAACATTCAGCAGCTATTCCCCACAAAACCAGGCAGTGGTGGCTGATCCTTCACAAATGGTTCAGGAACAACTCTGCAAGCTATGCAAGTCACCTGTTTTTTAATAATGCTAGCTGCATCAAGTCCTGACAGTGAGGGCTGCCGGGATGTAATCCAATCTGTGTCCCTTCCTTAGTCCACAAGTGAGAAAGTCTTTCAGAGTGCGGTGCAAGATCGAAGAAGCAGAGTCCAGATATGTCAACAAGGTATGAAGGGTGGGGTGCTCCCCAGATCTCAGAAAGCATAGGTGAGGTCACTCACGATCAAGATAATGTATATAATAATCATACTGGCCCCCCTTCCGATGTTTTCGCCGCTCGATGACTTCAGCCATATCTGCACAAGATGGAACAAGCTGCATCAACCCTACTCTGAAGTCATGTTGAGCCTGTTCCCCAAACCCTAGAATGGCAATGGTGAGGCTACACACATCCACCGTACATCACCTTCTTAGCAATTGTAGCCTTTAGTGAACCAAACAGCAATTGCTAGGAAGGGGCAGCGCTACAGCAGTGCTTAAAAACAAATATCATGTCTAGACAGACTTAGTCAGCCTTCAAAAGGCCAGGACTGGTCAGATAGCTCACGATAGCTTTGGTCGAAGCTGGCAAGAGCGGCGACCTTGTCCCCAACACTGTAATCTTTTGCCATGCCATTGCTCGGCCCCGGGTTCCCCCCATTGGAACTCGGACCAGCCCCATTCCCATCAACTCGAACGCCATTGCTGTCTGACAGTCTGTATCCGCTTTGCTCTGCAGCCTTGCCAGGCGTTTGACTTTCCCTGAGGCTCGCGGAGCCAGCTTGTAGACCTGCCCTTCCCTCCGCCACTCCCCCCACTCTGGCTCGGGAGTCTGACTGAACAGCAGCAGCACTAGGTGAACCGCCCTCCCTGACTTGTGACGCCGAAAACCCCCCCGTAGCATGCTGGCGAGGTGCCTGAGCATTAGCCAGTCTCTTCCCAGTGCCGGAGACACTTGCCGCTCCCAAGACTGGAAGCTTTGCATGCAAAGGTGCTGCATCCTGCTCTCTCAAAGAAGGTGAAGCATGCGCCATGGAAGGCGGCAGTCGGCCTGTGCCACCATTTTCTGGGAAGGCATGGTTGCCCCTAGCGGAACTCTGTTTGGGGAGATGAACAGACGGAAGCGGAGACTGCGTTTCGTCTAGTCGGGGCATGGTGGCTTCTGCAGGTAACATGGCTGCCAAGCCAGCCTGTTTGACCTCAACCGAGCCCTGTTTGCAGCATTGACATCTCCAAGGGAACAAGAAAAGCGCCTAACAGCTCAGCTAGGGTTTCCAACTTCTGGGAAGAATGCTCTCAGGCTCAAGGTCAGAGTATGATTTAGGCATGCGGGTTAGCCGTTAACCTGATCATAGGGTAATATCATATGAAGGGGCGACAAAGATTGACACTACTTCAAGTGGTGTACGAATTGTAGGATATCAATCCAGGTCCTAGTGCGGTCGAGCCGACTTGAAGTTTCGCCGCGCAGAAAATTTCTGCCTTCGGAATGAAACCGGGTCATGGGATTACAACCTTGGTTAAGAAATGATGCATGGAAAAGGATAAAAAACCACACAAGTTGCTAGCAAATTTCCAAGCAAGCCACCATTGGCATTGGCAGCAATTGGGCGTCCTCTTTGATCCTCTAAGGCACTAAGTCCTGCTGCAAGGTGATACTGGTCATACCTGAATGGAGAGAGCAGCCTCTGGAATTACGAGAAAATTTGTCTTATTGGCAATTGGGAGGCTGCCGGAGGAGCTTGGGCGCAGCTGGGCAAGTTGCAACTCTTTGAACAACATTTCAGAATCCTCTTGACAACATCCATTCTGTTGTGAAGGTAGGGTGATGGTACTGACCATCACTGTCATCAGGGAAAGTTTCTCATGACCGAAGGTGTTTTGAAGTTGCGAAAGTGTTCTTCAAAAGTGATTTTCGAAAAGTGAAATGCTGCAACATTAGTTGATGACTAGCGCTTTGTGCTCAAGGAGACACGATTGAAGCACAAGCGTCCCCCGCAACAAATACTTATTGCAGAAAGCTAACCAGACTACTAACAAGAAGTCTACCAAAAAGTTCATGAGGGGGCTTTCTGGAAAGTAAAGCCAGATCAATATTCCAAGCTCTGACTGCTTTTGCCTTGAACCACTTTGTAGGATTGTGTCCACACCACTTATCCATTCGAATGCGCACTTCCTTGCAAGCAATCTAAGCCATTCATACATTCGGGGCGCTTTTGCACGACCGCAAAACAGGATTTACCCCCTTGCTTCCGGCAAACTTATTGATCATCGTGGGGCTGAAGATCTACTCAGTCTTGACCTCAAGAGTGTGACCTGCTTTCCTGTGCACAGTTTGATAAGTGTTTCCGGGGCTTGGACCGTCCGCTAAGGATGGCTTTCAGGAGGAGGCCTGGCATCTCTGGCTTGCAAGGGGCGACAGCTGCAAGGGTGAGCCTCTCTAGTAACTCCTGGCGTGCTGGTGCACATATCTCTCCATGCAAGCTCGTCGATCCAATGTCATGGCAGCCTTTTGATCAACCACAGTGAACTGCCCGACCAACTCCTTGAGTTCAAGTTCTTTTATCGATGTGTTTGCGAAGAATTGGCGCCGTCTGCGACCCTGAGTGCATTATGATTCAGAGCCTGTTCAGAAACTGAATGACATTGGATACAAGCCCATTGATAAGCTGTTTGGTTATCAGCAAAGATTGGCACCTTCAATAGACACTGCAGATAACTGCAGTTTGTCGCAACAGCTCAAGCCAATATCTCCTCAAATCCTAGCTGCCCGAGAAACATTTTGTTTACCTACACTTCATATCTTATTGTGATTTCTGTCGTGCAGTATAGCCACCATATACCAAAGCTGCCATGAAGAAACAGATGCCGCTGGGCACGTCACTCTCAAGAACAACTGAAACATTGACATGAACGATTCTTCGCTTTTCTTTCAGGCACAGTACAAGACTCTTGGGGAGGATGTTGCCAAAGTGAGGACGGAGCAGATGACCGAGCAGCTTGCGACCTTCAAGAAGAGCTTGGAGGACTTTGCACAGAAGTACAAAGTGAGCCCTCGTTCAAGAGTCGCGCTACTTCTAGTCCTTTTGCAAAGCAATGGAGTTCTGGATGTTGATAGCTCGGGCGAATAGCTGCTCCATGCAACCAAGAATTTCAAAGAAGCTGTGAGCCAATCGTGTGACCAGTCCGCTTTTGTGACACTTCATCAGTGAAAGTTTTGCCTTAGTTCCTGGGAGTTTAATCGCTCCGAGGTGGGCGTCTACGAGCTGACAGAACGTCATCATAAGTAGCTTATGTCGGAAACACAGTTCGAAGTGGCTGAAACATTCCCCTCGCCTGTGGTACTTGTCTTCAGACCCACCCCTTACGTGCAGGGCCTCATAATTTGATTTGTGGGCTGCTTAAATCCAGGTTTTTTACCACCCATCCGAATGTCAACCTCTCTGCTCGTAAGTGCTCCTTTGCCAAGAAGCAGTCAACGTTCAGGGCCCAGTGTCTTACGTCGGGCAGAGGGGGCGCCCCTCTTAGTGAGGTTGTTATTCAAATGCAGGTCCTTGTCCATCTGTGCGTGAGACTCTGCACGATTCACAGATACAGTATGCTTGCGTCCCTTTCCTCGCAGAATGACATCAAGAAGCAGCCGGCGTTTCGGGCGCAATTCCACGAGATGTGCGCGAAGTGCGGGGTAGACCCGCTGGCTAGCAACAAGGGGTTCTGGGCGGAGCTTCTGGGCATCGGCGACTTCTATTACGAGCTGGGTGAGTGCTTTCCCTCGGGCTCCGAATTACAGAGCGTGCAGACGCACTCATTGGAGCACATGGTGCCAAGTTTTTCAAGACCAATCAGCATACTATATTGGATTTGCGGTGGACAACGAGACTCTTTGGTTCGCCGAATAAGATCGAAAGCAAGGCAATGGCCGTTTGATTCTTGGAGGCAGGCTGCAGGGAAGGCCGGCCGCATGAAACGAACGAAGCCCAAGCGAAAACTGAAGCTCCAGTAACGTTCGTAGAGTTCGTTCATGTCATGTCATGAGGATTTCCTTAATTCGAGGGTCCGGCAGTTGGGGAACATCAACCTTCATGCAGTGTCAACTTCCCGCATGAGGTTTGAGGTTGTTTGTGGACGTGATGAGTAACTTAAAAGCTTTTCAGACGTCGGGGAGTTCGTCAAACTTTCCATTCAGGACCAACTAGTTTTTAATCCTAGTGCAAGATGACATCGAAGGATCGAGTTACTTGCTTACATACAACTGAACGTACTGGCACATGTGACGTTGACGGTCGAATTCAGCCACTAGACCATATTGATTGGCTTCTGATTGTCTGCCATGTGAGTCGCGAGGGTTGACTTCCGCAAGGGCTCAGGTCAAATCGCTTTGTTTGAAAGGTGGTGGTCAGATGGCGATTGCGTTCTCCTCTGCTAATCGTCCCGCTGCGAATGCAGGGGCCGTTCTAAAAATTCTCCTAAAGGTCCCTTCAACAGTTCCTTACGAGGGAGACGTTACGCGCTGTCTGCAGGCGTGCAAATCGTCGAGGCCTGTTTAGCAACGCGGCCGCACAATGGGGGCCTCATAGACCTACAAGACCTGCGAGCGTTAGTAGCAAAGAAGCGGCGAACCGCTAAGGAGCCTGTGACTGAAGACGACTGCATACGGGCCATTGGGAAGCTGAAGGTAAGTTCGCACATCGGCTGCGGTTTTGTGGAGGGCTCTGATTCGAGAGAGCTGAACTTTATGGCTTCGCGCTTGGCAATGCTTGTTTCAAACTGTCATTAGCGAACTTAACGCAGCAGGCGCTTTGACAAGCTCGCTAGTCCGTTGCACCCAAAGTCGGACACGGTCCGCTCCTTCTTAGGGGGCTGCGCACTCGATGGCTGGTTATTTACTTCTCTCGTAAAATCCATCAATCCCCAACTTTTTCATCGTTCCGCAGTGAACTCGAGTTCAATCTAAAGTGTCTGCTAACTCCCTTTCGATCGTGCGAAATTCTCCCCGGACTCCAGGAGCGTCGGACTTTTGAATACCAGCGTCGTAGTAGATGACTGGGTCGAAGTGCCGGATCTGCTTGGGTTCAATTACCGTGCAGAGGTCTAGGCGAATGAGAACCAGGGCTCGTTGAGTATGTTTCATCAGGGATTCCGTTGCTGCAGGCACTCGGGAGTGGGTTCGAGATCTTCACCGTCGGGAGCAGACGTCTCGTCCGCTCTGTTCCGACGGAATTGAATCGGGACCATAACGAGATTCTGGAGATGGCGCAGGTAAAGCCTGCCGTACTGAAGTATCTCCGAGTTGCGCCACTGGAAATTGGGTGTTTTTGAGCGACAAGTCCGTTGTCAGTGTCACTGTTCCGACGCCCCTTCGCCAGAGCGTCGGGTTTCAATGACTGTCCGGTTCGATTTTTGTTTATGCAGACCCTTCAATCCCTTCTCCTTCGCTAGACGGCTTCTCGAACTTGCGGTCTATCCGTCTGGCAAGGAAACTTCTTGTGCGAGAGAAACCTCTAGTAGATGCAGTCTGGCACCGGACATCCATCTTGACACTTTCTGAGCAAGTGCCCTAAAGCAACGCTGGAACGCCATCGTGACTCGTCTTCGCCGGCATTGTCCGTTTTGAAGCAAAAACCGTCCGCTTTTGATTATTCTCTCCACCTTGTTATGCTTATAGAGTTAGCTATCAAGGGCGCTGACGCTGACGTCTTTCCGCAGGGTCTTTACTTGTCAACAGACCATGAAAGCCGCTCACACTGATGTCACTCTGTAGGGTTTTCAATTTTTTAGTAAGCAATTAACGGCACTGACATTTGATATCAATCCGAAGAACCATCGCATTTGTACAGAAGCACTAAATGGCCTGACACCGACGTTGATCCGCAGGGGCTGTGCTTACGTACAGAAGGGATTAGGACCGCCCACACATACGTCAAATTCGCAAGAAGCTCAGATCTGTACGGAAGCAATAAAGGCGCTGACGCCACTGACGTCATTCCGCAGGGCAAAGGCTTCGTGACAGCGGCCGAGGTGCAGGCGCAAAAGGGCTGGCCGCCAGGGAGGGTCGAAGACGCGTTAGAAACGCTGCTAAGAGTAAGGTTCTCTACGCTCGATTCCTCATTGACTTCTTGCTGCCGTTTTACCGATATGTTTCGATACGTCAGGGACTATTGTACGTATCAAAACCGGATGTGAATTCGTTGGCCGCCGAGAAAGCTCCCTTTGTTGAATCTGCTTCCGAGCCTTAGTTCGGTTCAGAAAACTTGGCGGCCGGACATAGCGCATCGATGTTTACCCTTCGAGAGCTGACTGGTTTCGTTTTGCCTCCTCTTGTACTGCGTAGTTCGAAAAGCCTTTCTTGTGGAAGTCTGAAAGGCAAGCTAGGGCCGTTATGTGGCGAGTTCTTTGGCGCAACTCAGGCGTTGTGGAGCCATCATACAACGTCCTGTGACAAACGTCCGCAGTCGTGCTAGTAGTTTTCGCTGCCTCCGTTCATTCCTAGCTCTTAGTGCTGGCTACATGGTGCCTCAGCGAGCCCGATCCGAAAAGAGTGATGTGAAGCCGAAGACACAAATCGCCATTCTCCGCCCCCACTCTTCATTCCATGGAGACCTAGCTGCTCCTGACAAATCGCCGTTCACTTCGGTAGGACGGCGTTGCACTGCCAGTATTCTTCGCCCTCATATCCCACTCCAGCCAGTAGTGCCTGCTACCGCAACAGGGACTCGTACGAAGGATCATGCGAACAGATAATACAGTGGATAAAGCGGAGCATGCATCACACCACTTTATCCGCCCACTTTCCACGCTTTGGCTGATCCCACACAACCTCCGTTCTCTTTGGCAGGAGGGCCTTGCAATGATAGACGACGGTGATCCAGATGGGCAGCGCCGTTTCTGGTTCCCTTGCTCGTCCGGAGATGGCAACTTGAGCATAGAAGGACAACTCGGTGAAGGACCTATCCGATGACGTTAGTGCACTGGTCCGGTTGATTCTTAGCTTTGAACATATTGAACGAGTTGGTCGAAACCAACTATGTACAGATAGAGAGGAATTTTTAGATCATAGGGCGATGAAATGGTCAACACTTTCTGGAAATGAAGCATGTGATTGGAGCAGAAGTTTGAAGAGTATATGAAAGCGTCGTCGCCGCAATTCAGCCTTCGCCTGGACACTAGCTGTACGTCCCAATCCCTGTATGATGTATCTAACATCACTGTGTCGCGGATGCTGTTGTGCGTGTCGTCGCGCTCGGTGCCTCGAACGCAACGCAGCAAAAGCTTACCCCAAAAGATGCATGCGCGCCGGCAGCTGCATGACATACTTGCATAGCGCAAGATGCCAGCATGGCTTGGGGGAATTCGGCATATGTATGCCCAGCAAACTAGCACTCGTCTTCATGGACTGTCAGCGCCTGGAGATGCCGCTACAAGACGTTTGATTGTTGCGCTTATCAGGCGAGCTCAGCGAATGAATAGGCCGGTCCGGTTCAACCTTTGGTACGTACGGGAAGCGCGTATAATCAAATCACGATATGCCACGTGTCAAATGTCCAAATGATCAGTTGCCGAGATGCCTTTACCTGCTTGTGTCGTAATCAGCAATTGACCACGTTCTGAGTCTCGTTTTTGACCCCGGCCTGGCTCTACTGTAGGCTCGCGCGATGAGCTCAATCGGACAAAAACGCTGACGATCGCGCGAATTGCACCTCCCTGCTGGGATTGCATGTCGCTAAGAGATCCAGGACTAAAACAAACGGTGCTTTCACAGCTCGCAACCAACTGTGCATGAGTCATCTCACGGAAGCAGAATTCCTTCCTTTTAATCTGGGTACGTAACACTGCTTTGTTGGTCTGAACTGCGGGCGCATGCATGCGAGAATCGGAAGACAAGAGGAGCAAAGAGGCGTCGCGGTATCTTCGGAGTCCGCGGAAAGACCTGTGTCTGCTCTCAAAAGAGGATGGCGGAAATGGTGGACGAAAGCCTGGACCGGACCGTCGAGCGCTGTGCTTCCTTGCTGATGACGACAAACCAGGACGACCTGCAAGCGGGAATCAACCTGCTGAGTTGCAGTCTGCACATGGACAACCCAGACGTGACGAAACATTCCAGGTTACTTCAAGAGGTTGCCGCGTATCGGGGTGGGATCCTTCTAGGGCGACTGCTGTTATCTTTGCTGAAGGAGACTCCTAATGGGACCGAATCAAAGCAAGTGCTGGAGGGATATTTCACCTTGGCGCTCTCGATCCTTTCAGCAAGCAAGGTCGTTGTGGAGCGCTGCTTGAGGAGCGACGGAACCAGAGCGGAACCGGAAATTGCCCTGAAGATTTGTGCTGCGCTGATCCACCGGATTGTAGGCAACGCACGGAATCTACCAAAGAGCGAAGATTTGCGGCACCTAAGCGAAATCGCGATAGCCGACTCCTTGGAGTGCCTCGTCAACTTTGCGCGGGGTTCCAAGAGATTCCGAGACGCCTTGAGAGACTCATTGGATCAGAGGAGCGGCTTCGAACAATTCAAAGATCTTCTAGATGCGGAGTTTCTCAGCAGCCTGTTCGCGCCAGTTGCGCTGAAGATCCGGCTCCATCTATCCAGTCTCGCGGTCAATCTCGCATTCTCAGCAGACAGTCAATCGTGGGCGATCGACATGGGCTTGCTCAAACTGGTAGCGGCGATCTACGAAGCGTCCCCTCTTCAGGAGCTTTCCGCTCCATCCCAGCGGCGGATGGCTCCGGCGTTCCGCTGCAACAAAGTCCTGCTCCGCTTGCTCGCGGAGGATACCACAGCGGAAAAGCTCCGCGCGCACAACGCGTTCTCAGAGTTCCGGCCCCACCAGCGGAAGATCCACGACGCGGAACCGGAGCCCAACCCTTGGCAGTTCTTCGAGCAGAGGCTGCGCGGCGTGACATTCAGAGCCGACACGCCGGCGATTCTGGCTCAGGACTGGAAACTCGTGGAAGAAAGCTGTAGCGGAAGCGTTCCGGCCCATGTCGTTTGCGCGTACAAGGGGTGCGCGGCCAGCCGCGAGCCCGTCGTCGGGAAGGGTTTCAGCAAGTGCGGGCGGTGCCACGTGGCGCGCTACTGCAGGTTTGCCGCGTTTTCGGCCCGGCTTCGTTTGACCTTGGATCTTCGAGTTCCTGAGTGGAGGACGTTTTTGGAACTTCAGTCATATGCCGTCCTCTTTCCTTTCAACGTCCATCTCGAAACAAGAACCGGAATTGCTTCTCTCTCCCCCTTTCTCTACCGCCTTGTCTTCGTCTAACCGGTCTCCCACAAACTCAATCAACAGCCTTTAGCTTGGGAGTTCATCGGCCGGTCGGTTCTGTCGATCTAGCATACTACGAACAGCTGACTCTTTTGACATTCTACTTGGCCACTGCTGGATTCATCCAATATGAGAGGCCCTCTTCTGCATCTTGGCACAAAGTCTTGAACATTCTTTTCCAATGAATGCTCCTCAATCAACGGCTTTTTGTCTGTACATCTGTTTCAAAAAGTTTGTCGTACAATCACATGCGGAATCTTTGTACGTTGCGGTGACAGAGGATGTGTCACTACGACCGTCGAGGCAGTACGCCCAGCGAGGTGGATGGAGGTTAAGAGAAGCTGTTTCAGATTGAAAGAGAATAAGATTAAAGCTAAGGTCCACAATCAGATAAAGGTTAAGTTGTTCAATGTTTGCCAGGTTCCAACATGAGCACAGAACCATTTTCTCCTTCGAAAGACTTTCAGTAACTGCTACTGACAAGATTGTTAGTGAGAGCGCTTCTGATTCACGTCATCCGCTGTCCGATAAAGATGCACCGCAATCTGCTTCGTATCATTCACATTTTAAATGTTGTCGTTTTCACGGGGTCGATAAGCGTCTGCTTTCGCTCATGAGACACGCATCCGATGCAGCAAGGAGCACCAGAAGCTGCACTGGGCGACCCACAAGGTGCACTGCAAGGAATTTTGGGCAGGCGAAGGGGCCTTGTAGATGAATTCGGAGCGCAAGTGTTTGAAGGAGGAGTTTAAGGGATTCCTGAGTGGACCGTCCGGGAATGTGGGGTGCAGGCCGTGATACTTTTCTTTGTCATAGTGTTCACGCCAAACCAAGAACCGAAAGGGTTCCTTAAGACCGATTTTGGAGAGGTGGTACTTTTCCAATGAGTATCTCAACCTGAAGTTGGTCGAAATGCGGCCCATTCCGCCGTATGGCTTTGATTCGACCGCTACGGAGCTGGCGAGCGGCTGATCGATGGAGAAGGAATGCATTAGCACGGAAGATCCAAGAAGATGACTGCGAGCCCACCCGAACATTTAAATTCAAAAATGCAGCAATTGGTAATTACGTAATTACGTAATTGCGTAATTGCGTAATTTCTTAAGATGCGTCAGGTCGATTGCCCATCTTGGCAAACTCCTGTGTTGCCATCACGTACGACTGAATCTAAAAACTGGCCAGATCGTCAAGGCTCTATGATGCTCAGCTAGCTGTCAGCCGCAAAGGGATACCTCGACCGGCCTTATAGTGCACATTCAATCTTGCATGTACTCACATGTACGCGTTTATCTAGATTGCTTTCAAGCTTTTCGGTGGCCGGATCGTTGAATCAATCAGACGGTCGTAGTCCTCTCAATAAATGACAATACACTGGCGCGGCAATCAGTCATGTGAACTGATAAATGCATTCTCTATAACTAATTATACAACTATTACAATTCATGCCACGGTAGGCCGGCCCGGCCACGGAAGGCCGTAGGCGGCCTACGGCCGCAAATTGCCATGGCTGTGCCAGGCCCGTTACGAAAAGAGACCAAGATATCATGAGATCAGCTTTTAAACGCATACGTCTACGTACATTTATTCCGCGCCAACTTTAAATAGCAGGCAACGGTGAACCTGCGTGTGAGCCGTCTACTGATGACATGGTCGGGTACATGGTTCTTTCCACGGGGGCTATTGGTTTCGGTATTGAGAAGAACGCCTCAAGTCAGCATGACATATGGCACTCAACTATGTTGTACTGTTTCTAATTGCCAACTTCTCTTATGTAGCTTGGCTATTTTCCCAATCGTGCTTGAGCAATTTGCTTTGATCAAGCGCTCTTGTAACCGTCCGCACGGCAACAACGGCTAACGCTTTTTCTGAGCCTGACCTTCCGTGATCATGTTGGTGCACAACTTCTCACTGGCAACAATGGAAGCGGAGCTGGACAATTTATGAGCTGCAACCTCGGACAGGATTCTTCCCACGTGCTTGCAATCCAGCCAACCTCAATGTACATGAAGCGGTTGCTCGCGTCAAGTTATAGCTTAGACTAAGCTAAGGAGTTCTGAGTGTGCTGCTTTACCAAGAAACTTATCGACCTGTCTTGGCACCTCGCTGTACAACCTGGAATACATGATTGTGAATACCGGACGGAACCGAACGACCTACTCTACACAAGCCTAAGCAATGGATGTTCTTGGGCCTTGCAAACCTGCCTATCTAACCAACAGTACCGACCAGATACGAATGAGCAGCCAGTTCTTCCGCGTCCTTCTTATCCATCCCCTGCAATGTCTACACACCATCCAATCACCACCCTAGCTGACGAACCCAATGAACCACCAAGCGTCCGAACTTTGCCTCAGCGGCCAATCTACACCACAACCTTCTTCACGGAAGGCAAGCCCGTCACCGCCTCCCCCTCAATCCCGCACTCGTTCTCGCCGCGCACGATCCGGAAGTACCCGTCCTCGCCCCAGCCGTAGCCCCACGAATTTGCGATCAGCCAGTAGTCGACACCGTCGTCGGTCGTGCCCCAGCCCATGAGCTTCACGGCATGCCCTCCAAGGACGCCGCCGTACAGGTGCTTGTACACGCCGGACTTGTAGTGGGCGAAATCCTGTGCAGGGGCAGTTTTCCAGGACAGAAAACAATTGCTTTCATCTGAAGCACAGCTGCCTTCGCCCTCTTCCAAGAGGAGCTAACGGTTTTCATTTGAAAACACGCCGGACTTGCAGTGGGCGAAAGTTTGAGCAGGGGACGACCAAAACAAGTGAGAGACTGATTCCCGCTCAATGTAGATAGCCAATGCTTCTAAAGAACCATCAATGAAGCTTTCAATAAGAGGTTGATAGGGGGAGGACCATGGCCCGAGCGGCTGAACACGGGTAGACCAAGAAGGCAGCTCCGACAAGCCTGATTGCGAAGAGGTCCTCGCTTCTCCGCGCCGTTCTCGGCAACGATGAGATTCGCGGGTAAAATCATACGCACTGGTGACACATTCTCAAGACAGAATGTGAAAACAAGCTGTTCAATCGCGGAACAATTGCTCGACACCACTTGCAAATTCCGGGAATGGTGACAGTCATTACGTAAACAACATAGATCCTCCTTTTCCACACCTCAAAGAAACCAGTCTTTCTGTGGGTCCAGCAGATCCGAATCGGGAAGAAAAACCCTACAGAGAGTACTCGAATTGCGTAAAGAATATCACAGAGAGAAGACCAGGAGCACGGAGTTGATCGCATTCCAAGATCTGCTGAAAACGTTGTTGAAGACGTAGCACCTACTTAACAGGGAACCTAGAACACGAGCAAAGGAGTAAGTGAGGTATCATCATTCTCTTATGTCCGCTCACAAAACTTCCGTGTCGCAAACAGATTCCTCACCTGGTAGACGGTGAAGGCGACCTCGATCGGCCCGTTCAGGAACAGCTCCTTCTGCAGATCCTCGACGTCGGGCCCAACGGTGTACACGTTTGCGGCGTAGTGCTTGGAGTCGCCCCACAGCTCGTCGTCCTTGCAGCCGCGGACGCACTTGGGGGTCGGCTTCACGGGGCCGCACCCGGGGTGCTTGCACGGGACCGTGTCGAAGTAGGGGTCGCACTGCGAGGAGAGACGTTTGGCAGTGTTAGGCCAAATTGCACGGGATCAAGAAGCGAGGAAAGGCGTGAAGATAGAGCGGATGTGTATTAGAGATACAGATGCAAAGAAGGAGTCGGCTAGACTGGGCTGCACCCGGGGTGCTTGCACGAAAGCATGTCAAAGTAGGGGTCGAAAGGACGATTGGCCCGTGTCAGAGGAGGAAAGGCGCAATAGATTTTGTGGTATTGAGGACGGTGGTGTCAAAGGCCGAGAAGGGGTCGGCTGCACGGGTTTGTATTTATGGTACTCAGAGTCGGGATAGGGATCACACTGTGGAGAGACGAGCGAGCAAGTTGAGCAATGCCAAGCATGGACGGAGACAGAGGAATGTGGGTAACCACAGCGAAAGGAACGAGGAAAGCAGAGCGGAGATATGAAACGTTGCAATCAGCAAGTGCGCATGCCACGTGACCGTTCATTTCGGCAATCTCATTTTGTAAACGCCCAAACTTCACCTTACTCCCATGCGTTTCTTTGCTCACGTGAAAGGCAGCAGAAACACACGTGGTTATAGACAATTTTAGCAACGGGACACCACTAACGGACAATTAACACAGCAGGGGAACAGTCCAATGGGTGGCTGCAATTCACCTGCTCAGACACCACTCCGCTCCTCTCAAAGTACTCCCAGGCCCGCTCCGGCCAGCCCCCCTCGCAGCCGTCGCCGCACTCGAAACCGCAGCAAGACAGCAGGTCGTTTGTGCTCAGCGTGACGTTCTGCAGCACAGAAAAGGGTTATGAAACCTTTAAGCACGTCGCTTAAGTGGTTGGATTTAGCGAGCTTATCTCAGTCGTTGGCTGACTGCTTCCAAGAGGTGTTTCGTTCCCTGGACCTGTTTCTCGATCCATCTTTTATCTGGGCAAACCGAATACTGAAAGCAAAATTATATGCAAGGACTCTCATAAGCCGGAAACAAGTGAAACAGGAGCAGGGAAGATGTACGAGTGTGACTGCTCCTCCTATCAGAAGAAGGAGGAACACACACACGGTTGAGACTAAGAACAAGCCCCCACCTCGTGCCCCGCGATGCAGAACCGGTCGGTGAGCACCTCCACCGCGCCGAACGCCCAGCACGAGCCGCAGTGACCCTGGTCGCGGATCGCCGACAGGCTGGGGCACGAGGGCCACTTCTGGCGAGGGTCAAAGTTCTTGGGAAGCTCCACGTCAGGATGGTGCGAACGCTTCAAGGTGAGCGGCTTTGCCAGGGGGAGGGCGTTAGGGTCGCCGGCCTTGGATCCACACAGCACCTTCAGATCGTCGACCTGTTTGGAATTGGGATGATTTGAACCTTCTCAACTGAGTCGAGCAGAGAAGCATCTCCGCAAACATGTTGGTGGAATTTCCCCATGGTTCAGAAAGGGGAGGAAAAGAGAAACCAAAGAGCGAAGAGCACATCGGTCGGGGTGAATGGGAGTTTGTACATCACATTAGCAGGGGATGAGATATACACAGGTTGTATCAGCAAGGGGCCAGCAGAGCACCAACTACTCTCAAAAAGTGCAGAAATGTGAATTGACTGCTAGAAGGTCTAGATTCGTTATTAGGCTGGCTGATGGCATTGCCTGGAGGAACACAACCCTGGAGGAACACAACATGAGGAAAAAGCCACATGGAGGCAGCTAGGGTCATTCCAGTGCAGACAAGGAAGAACAGAAGGTGGGGTTGGCAAGGGCATGTGATGGCAGTCCTCTACTTTGGACCGTACATCCGCAGCCTGTTCGTTGTTGAGAAGCTGAAAGAATCGATATAAGCAGAACAATCTCAAAGCACAGTGGTACACCAAATCACCATCCTGCCGCTCTCAAGGCGTAATGAGCAAGCTACTTTGCACAAGGTCAAAAAGCTCAGCTCAGCTAACAGAATGCGGGAACAAGCGATGCTCATGCAAATTGTGAGGAGGTATTAAAAAGTCAAGTGTATCTCACAGTGAAACCCTCAAGCCGCTCGTTCTCTCCTGCAACCCAGGTCGCTGAGGGCTCGCTGTTGACGGCGCCGATGATGTCATCCTGCGAAAGCGAGCAGCTGATCTTACTACAAAATCCAGAGATACACTGCAGTTGGTCCTGGATGACAAGATAAGCCGAGCAAAGTACTAATCTGCTATTATGAACTCGTACACTTGTAGACACAGACTCCATCTCGAAAAAAAGAAAGTGTCCTCATTATCCAGGCAATATGTGCATCACTGCAAGCTGGAGAAGATATGCATTTGGGTAAGGAACATATATTGAAGCAAATACTCTAGAAGCGCAGCTCAACTTGCAATGATCACTTTGACATCAAGTAACGGATTTCGCTGTCAAGGCTTTGAGTTGTAACACTAGGTTTACATTAGCTTGAGGGTCGTACCACTAGGTTTACATCAAAGTTTCAGCAGATGACTGTGAAAGTACTTTGCGTGCTTGATTGCAACAAGAATCTGATGAAGAGGAACTTCTAAATGGCGATGAGCAGAGTGCAAGAAGTGTAAAAACCACAATAAATCCTTTCGTCATGTTTTTTACAACAACTGCTCAGATCCAGGATGTAATCAACAGGGTTGAGGCATCGTAAAACATCGAAGAAAGTTCACCTGAGGAACCAAGATCGCACTAGGATCGACAGTCACTTGCTGAATGAGTGGATCAATCGGACGGATAGCCTGCACGATTGCAAGAACAGGCAACATACCCATCATTGCTTGCCTGCTAATATTCAGAGAGATGTAAATGCTTCTTAAAACCAGGGAGTTTCTGCATAACTTTGAAGCAAACCTTGCCATAGTGCTGATTAACATACAAGGGTCATAAATATTCCTTTGCAAGAAGAAGACATGTACAAAAACAAGGGAAATGATTGTCACAGGAAGTTTATGATAGAAGGTAAGGACACAAACAGGCCCTGACAGACAATCAGAGCTTCCCTGACGAGTATATCAGCCATGAGCAATCTATCTGCCGCACAACAAGCGCAAAATAACAGACCTGTGCATCGTGATTGTGAGGTACTTATTGTATTGCCAAAAGTCCTTCACAATCTGGCCAATTTCAATAGCTCGTGGAAGCTTGGCCACGAACTTTGCAGATGATGAAAGGTTGTTAAAAGAAGGGAAAAACTCATGCTGGAAAACTTACCTGCGCAGCTCCAAGCAGCCCAATCAGGAGGAAAGTCCAAAGGAGCTTCATGATGTCAGCTCAAGCTTCAACAGTTTCGTCCTGTCTTTGCTGCTTTCGTAAAACTTCAAAAAAGTGAAGGCTTGAAGCCTGAAGGGCCCTTGAAACCGAACACCTTCGTCAGAAATTCAAACACTGATGTCAGAGCGGGGACAAAGAGAATTAGTACCGGACGGAAGCTAAGGCTAGGGGCTGTTGGAACCCTGGACATTGACGTCAGCCTTGGGTTGCGGACCGGGCCTGCTACGTCTTCTTATCTACCATCGGCCGTTCAAATGTCAGCTACGCCGCCCTACGCGGCATCCGACGGCAAAGGATGCACTTGGAAACCCTGTTACTAGGGATGTAGACAATGTGCATATCAGCCGTCGGATAGCCAGTTCTACAAGAATTCGACGCTTCAGAACCAGAGAGGTCCAACTCTGGGTTGACATAACCGCAAATCCAACAGCCCCTAGCCTTAGCTTTCGTCCGGTACTGATTCTCCTTGTCCCCGCTCGAAGAATGGTGGGCAGGAGTGTCGTCGCGGCGCCTTTTCGAACGACAGTCCAGCTTGAAAGTCGCCCTGCAGGATACACCTCAACTGCAAAATCGCAGCGACCGAGAAGAACGTCGGCTCTCCTTCTACGTCGCCAAGAACCGCACCAGTCTGCGGGAGACCGCTGCGCGCCTGGCGCCGCAGTGTAACTTCTGTCGTTGGATATTCATGTGACCAAATGATCTTACGGTACAAAAGCCTTTGAGTCCCGCCTCGGCTTCCAAAAACCTTCATCACGTTCAATGTGCTCTCAGCTCTGACACTGACAGTGACAGTTGACTCTGAGTCTAGGCTCCGAGTCCGACTCCTAGTCATTGTTGTCTTCAGACTTGCATTGTTCATGCAGCATGCTCACAATATTCACACGCGCAGGAAGAACCGGCCCAAGTTCCCAGGTGTTCTTGTTCCTTACAATGATACATGTAGCCTGTTGATCATTGTAGCTTGGAGCTTGTAGGTACAAGACTTGGTTGGCAGTGTGTTCAATGTTGCATAGCGTCAACGAATGGGACAAGAGAATTGGTAGTGTCAAAGGAGGTCCTTTGGGCACAGTTTGCACTGAACACAGGTGTGTTGGCTGCTTTGAAGCAGGAATACGTGTGTTGCTATCTAAGATTCAATAGCCGGGACAGAAGGCGTGTTCTTCGTAGTTTGCGGTCAGCGTTGCTACCGTCTTACTCGGTTTGATCTTCACTGGTCCTTGGCATGAGGCCACCATACAGCATTGTAGAACACAATGGGCCCAAAGCACAATCTTGAAGCCCATTTACATGCCGTCAGTGGACCAAATAGAAGGGATGCCCTCCGCGCAAACTTTCTGTACTCCCTCCCCGGCCAAAATCGTTTCGCGGCAGGGGAGAATGTGGGACACCGGTGAGTCATGTGGTTTGTCAGTCCAATATCTGAATTGTCAAAGGAACTAGAGAGTCTCTGTCAATCTCCAGCTCGTCACATCACAGGCCTTGGAAACACGAATTATGAGCTTGCTGATCAGCAGCTGGAAACTTTTCTGTCTGCTTCTTGACCGGGGCTGACGCTTTTCACCGACAGGGATACAAACTACGCGTTCACACCAAGCACCCCCGAGAAGCTGGCGCTGGCGTCACAGGTATGTCAGTTCGACCTGTCAGAGTAATTATGTGGTTTGATCTTGCTCACCATGATCAGTTGTTCATCTACTGGAAGTGATTCATTCGCTTGAGTTGTCAGCTTGCAATCTGTCTGATGTCACAAAGTAATGTTGATCTTTTTGGCATGAGGATTGACGACTGAATAGCAAGCATGAACGTCTATTCTCCAGGTGTGGCACCAGCTGAAGCAGCCTGTGGCCCGTAATGGCAATGGAGCGCCACCAGGGCACACTGCACCAGTTAAAGGGGGCCATTCTTTCAGAACAGATGCCACAGACTTTGATAGACCAGGCAACAGCAGCTTTAGGAACTTAAATGGGGTGAAGGCTGTCCATAACGAGTACAGCAGCATTTCGGGTCAGTACGAAGCCACGGTGCCTCTCGATAGAAGTCAGCGACCCTCTGTTCCTAATAAGACAGGAAGGCAAGATTGGCAGTCTTCTTTCACTGGCAGTCACGCCACTCAGTCGTTCCAGAAAGCCAGCAGCGCCACAGTGACAAGCCAGCAGGTCACACCTCTAGGAGGAAAGTCATTTGCAGACGATGTAGCGTTCGTGAGAGAGACTTTTGCTAGGACCGGGGTCCACCAGGCTAGTAATGGAGCGGGGCCAAGCTACGCATCACCTATGCCACAGACAGGCGCCAGGAACTGGGGCGATGCTTCAACCACCCCAACAGCTGAAGAAAGCTTCGCCGATGCAAATGAGGACTTTGATGATGAAGATCTGCTTGAGGTAGGCTTCCGCCAAGATCTTTCAAAAACATGCATATTTGGCATAGTCCTTAGCCACCGACCCCTTGCACCTCCTAGACTTCTGTACTTCTTCCATTCACCTTTAAAGGAAATGTTCAAGAACCCAAGGCATGAGACTCCAGGCGCAGACTCCTTTCACTTCTTAAGGTGCAAATATCTTTGGATCTCTAATCTCCAGGAGCCAACACGATTGAAAGCTTGGTACGGACCTTTCTAAAAAGTTTTAAGAAAAAGAAATCGGCAATCACATACACGCAGAAGGCGTTTTGCATTGTTCACGTATTCCTTTGTGCTCAAAGGCTTGTCCGTACTTCTCAGCTTCCCTGATATGCCCCCTCTTAGGCTCCAGAATTAAGGTGCCATCTCTGTGGATTGTGCAGAGCATTGATCTCGACCAGGTCGTCGCTCAGTACCAGGAGCAACGGCTGTCAACCGCCAAGGTGCAGACTACGCCCGTGACAAGTTTCAGAACCTCTGGGGACTTTGCTGGCTCCCAGTCAACTTTCCAACCGTCCGCCAGTCAGGCAGCTCCTGTGCCCCCGGTCTTCTGTTCCCATGGACTGCAGGTAAGTTATTCTAGCTTTGCTTCTGTCAGCAATTCTGCCTGACGATAGGTACTTGGAAGCACACAGCCACATGCAAGCAACTTTCCATGTGAGTACCTTCCTTCTACTATCGTGAATTCGTTCGAGGGTGTCAGAGAAGAGCACGGAGCTTCGCGTGAGATGTAATTCTACGGCTTTGTTATTGCAAAAGGACTGCTGTCCCTCTGCGGAAAAAGTTCTCTTGGTCTCCATCTTGTATCGTCGTGTAGATAATCTCCTACAAGCCCCTTCCTGCAAGAGTTAAGACCATGTCTGTTTCCTTCTTGCCACTTCTGCAAGAGAGAAGCCCACACCTCATTCAATGATGCCACTTTCTGCAAGAGTAAATTCCATTTCCTGTGCAGATGCATCTTTGCGGAGAGGCCAGCTCCCACCTGCAAGACATGAAGGACGAACTGCTCCAGATCTCGGAGGAACTTCTGGACGACGACGGAGAAATGGACCCCAAGCTGTCTGAAGAGCTGCGAACCAAGCGGTGAGCGCCTAATCTGAACAGACAATGTCTAGCGTAGTTCCTTCAGCGATTGCTTCTGATGCTGTTCGCAGTCGCCCGCAAAGAAGGTAGGCTTCTGATGCTGTTCACTATTGCTCGCAAGAAAGTAGCTTTCAGCAGAAATCCTCTGACGTTTCTGCACTGAGTTGACTTTTCTGGCTCGATGACACAGCCCCGAGCGCTGACAACTTTTCACACGTACTCGCCAGTCTCTTGAGATATTCTAAAACTGATGATCTGACAACTTTGTGGAAATCCTGTCTATGCTGACGTCATCTGCGGCGTCACCATTCAGGAGCCGCTTGAGCCGCGAGATCAAGGCCCTGCAGCAGTTGCTCTCCGCGGACGAAGAGCGCCGCCGTTCGCATGCCGCCGCTTCCTCCCCCTGGGGGCCCAGCCCCGCTGGCATTCCGCCCTCTTCCGCTCGATCCGCCGGAACGAACGGAACCCCGGTCCCTTCAACCCCTTTCTCTTTCCACCCACCGACCACGTCAGCACAAGCAACGACACCGGGGGTGCATCCAACTTCTTGGCAGGCCCCCCCTGCAGCGGCGCCGGCTTCTAATTTCCAGAATGACTATGGTTCCGGGGGTGCCTGGGCGGCGGATCCGGCTTCGGGCGGAATGGACAGAGCGAGGCCGGAATTGGCTGCGGTTCCTTCGAGAGAGGTAGACTTTACGGTCCCACGCCAGTTTCGGACGGTGTCGTACACGGACGGCGTACAGGATCCGCAGTGGAAGAGGACCGACTTCCCGTGGAGAAGGGAGATCGAGGTTAGTGATCACCAGTCGCCCTCTAGATTTCTTGCTGTCCTTCCTGTCGAGGATCCATTTGTCATATCGAATCTGAATGTTGGCGAAGTGAAGCTTTCATAGCTACCTGAATGACAGGATGCTTGGATCAGCAGCAGACGTGCTTACTTCACCTGAAATTCGACAGTCAGCTGACTTTGACAACCATTCCCTCCCCGCAGAGATTGAACTTGACCCGGTTTGGAAACCATCAGTTCCGAGCCAACCAGAGGGAGATCATCAACGCGACTCTGAGCAACCGAGACGTCTTTGTGCTGATGCCCACCGGGGGTGGCAAAAGCCTGACGTACCAGGTATGCTCCATGCCAAGCTGCGCCTCACCTTATCTCGCCTCCGTGTGGCCTGCTGTTCACGGCGTTCGCATATCCGTGTTAGCTTTGAGGCCTCTTTTCCTCTCGCTTCTTTGTCTCGCTGCTTTGACTGCACGCTTTTCCATCTTGCATTTGGTATTTCATGTCGTGACTGGCAGTCAGTCCGATTTGACGAACGCATCTATCCAGCCACCGCTGGCGCTAACTAGAGAGTCACCTTCCTGAATCGATCCTCTCCTTTCATCACGACTTTGTCTGCGTCTTAAGTATACATAATACCCATTTCTGCGGTAGATCAGTTTTGAAACCGCAATGCAGAGCTGATTGGTGCTCACCCTCGTCTCCACGCCTACCCATCCGAGAGGAAGGCACGGGTATGCCATTCGATCTTTCTGTAAATCTGTAGGAGCATAACACAATCATTTCGGGAATTCGGTGCTCAACATGTTCTGGTCTTTCTTGCAGCTCCCGGCTGTGTACTCCTCTGGCGTGACGCTGGTCGTGTCGCCCCTCATTTCCCTGATCCAAGACCAGATCATGCACCTGACCAACGTAAGCCTTCCCTCTAATTCTTTGCCTATTGACTTATAGTTAGGGTGCGCAAAACGGCGTCAGAGCATAGTAAAGCTTCCCTTTAGCAGTCGCTGAAAGTGCTGTGAGCATGTTGCACAAGAACGGAAGCGCCATGACTGCAAGTTCATTTTAACGATGAGAGAGATCCGTCACTCGATCTGAGACGCCTCAACTTTACCCTCGATTGCGTTCAATTGGGTCAGACATTTAAATGGGTGATTGGTTGAATTCTTCACTCTCAACAAGCTCGACAATCCCCGCTCAGTACACTCGATCGACCAAAAGTACATCCGCTTCATCGAGTCCCCTCCCGACCTTGTTCCGCAGGCCAACGTGGAGGCTGTGTGCTTGAGCAGTCGCATGGACTGGATGGAGACGCGCGCAGTGTACCAGGAGCTGGAGTCGCCCTACTGCAAGTACAAGCTGCTCTACGTTACTCCTGAGAAGATTGCACGGTGAGTGCAAGTGGTTGATGACCTCAGCAGGGCAAGCTATACATTTGTCTTCTCTGAAGCGCTGATGTGCAAACAACTAGACCGGGCGAGTAGATATGGGAGGCATGGCAGTAGCGGTATATTCGACTGTCCTAGCGAAAGCCGATACGGCCCGGTCCATATCTTACCAAGATACTCATAGCGTATTCGCCCACCAACATTACTTTTCCGCTTCTGCCAGGAGCGACTCGTTCTTCCGTACGCTGGAAATGCTGCATCGGTCCGAGCGGCTAGCGCGGATCGTCATCGACGAGGCGCACTGCGTCAGCCAGTGGGGGCACGACTTCCGCCCGGACTACCAGGTAGCTCACCGCTTGCGTTATTTCACACCGTTACATTCTTGGCTATGGGGTGTTATTTTGGAAGGGGATTGTGTGCAGGCGATTCCCTGTCAAGGCGCCGGGATCCCGGCTGCTTAGACAGGCCTCTGCGACAAGAGTTTTCCTGACTCCGGTGGAGCCAGTAACTTCGTGATTCTGAGTTACATGCTACTCTGTAAAGGAAAAGATGCTTCCCTGAGCGTGACAATATTTCGCGTCGGCTGTCGGATCGGGGTTCAGAAGACCCGTTTCAGCTCGAAAGGGGCTGTCCTTCAAAAGCATACTTCCGTTACCAAGGAATTGAGAAGGATCAAGCAAATTTAACTGAAAAGTATTGCCTTTCGCGGTTACGAGCTCCTGAACGTGACAGCAAGGTGGTGCGTACGATCGCTACGAAGGGGAGAAGACATTTTCCGCTCCTGGAAGGTCGTGGAAGTTGATAGAAGCTCCTTTCGCCTGTGCAGGGCCTGAAAGTGCTCAAGCAAAACTTCCCGGCCGTCCCCGTCATGGCCCTCACCGCGACCGCCACCGCCAGCGTGAAGGAGGACGTGGTCCAGGCGCTGGGGCTGGTCAACTGCGTGGTCTTCAAGCAGACCTTCAACCGGCCCAACATAGTGTGAGCCGCCTGCAAACCTGTCCTAACTCCTCAAAACCCCAAAAGCTTAACCCGAATATTCTAGAGGCCTGAAGCCTAGGCGGGCTGCTTTTGAACGCCCTCAAAGATTGCGAATTCTGTTGATGTGCGTTTCAAACAGATCTTCAACCAGCCCAACGTCTTGTGAGAGCCACCCAGGAAGCGCTTTTCCTTTGGTTCGGATTGGATGTCCGCGGATGACTGAGAGTAAGGTTGACGTGGTTCTCTCCTCGAGCGGAAAATAGCCGAGAAAGCTTCGTCGCTCTTATTTAATGTGCTCTCTTTTGGACGTCTTGTTCTTTGGCAGCTTGTAAAAGTAGAACAGCGTCTGGATTAAGCGGCGACCGCCGCTCTGCTTGGCAACTAACACAGGAGATGCGGCCCACCTCGCCGAAAGTAACGCAGGCGCAGGCAACTCGTTTGACGTCATTCTCTCTCTTATTTCTGCACATTTAACATTGAAGGTGCGACCTAAAGAAACAAGCCATCTTCGGAAGATGATGCAAAAACGGAACCAGGTTCTTAAGTATGCCATGTCACAGATGACGTCATTGCTCTTCTCTGATTCCGCCTGGTCCCATGTGTGCAGGTACGAGGTTCGGCCCAAGAAGAAGAGCCTGGTAGAGGACATCAACAAGTTCGTGCGCGAGAACCACCCGTACGAGTGCGGCATCATATACTGCCTCTCCAGGACCGACTGCGAAAAGATCGCCAACAAGCTCAAGGTACGGAATGCTTCTTCTCCTGTTACAGCCTTCGGTCTTTTAGCGCGTGCGGTGTCTCCTTCGTTGTGCTGTCTTACAACGTCATAGCTGTTTTTGCTGAAGTCAGATGAGCTTCCATGTCAGGATTTGGTTTGGACTTTCTTGGGCCTGATCATCTGAGAGAGGGTAGCTGACGTCCTCTGGAAAAGGAGAGCCTGGACTGGACGAACTCACGTATGGAAGCTGAATCCCTTGGAGATAGTTGGCACCCCATGCAATCTTAACTACAGTCCGTGTTCGGAGGAGCGATTGCGACAGCGGAAAATCTGCTTCTCCACGCCGGCAATCGATAGCACCACTTGCAAAAACCAATCAGTGACGGTCTCCCACGAGGCTTGTAGATGAGATCGGTGTCGCTCGACGCAGCTTCCCTTTGCCCAATCTCCAACCCTTTCAAAGGCAACGGGCCGTTTCTTTGAAAAGTGATGCCTCTGCAGTGCTTGTGCACAAGGCGCATCACTACCACAGGAATGGCCTGGAGCCGCTTCCCTTTGCCCTGACTTCAAAGTCTTTCCCGGGTACGGCCCTCTAACAATGATCTGCTATTTGTGCAGGAGTTGGGGCACAAGGCGCATCATTACCACGCCAACATGGACGAGGCGGAGCGGAGCGGCGTGCAGCGCGCGTGGAGCGAGGACAAGATCAACATCATCTGCGCCACAATCGCCTTCGGCATGGGTGAGGCGCCCCTTCTTTTTTGCGCCGGGAAAAGCAAAGCTCTCTTTTATTTCTGATCAAGATCTAAACTTACGCTATAAGGTGCATTTGGGGCAGCTCAGGGCGTCGCTTCCGAAGCGAGCCATCATAAGCCCCTCCAGTTGCTGGACGGACTCTAATAGCTCTCCGTGAGCTTTGACGGCAGCCTGCATTTGTTCGACGTTTGCGCTTTCCTTCTGGTGTTCAGAATTAAGCAGGACCCGTCCAAGGTGTGACTCCGGAGAGCATGTAACGCTCATCTGGCCGTATATGCAGGCATCAACAAGCCGGACGTTCGATTCGTCATCCACCACTCCATGCCTAAGTCGCTGGAGGGCTATCATCAGGTCAGCACAACCGCTACTCCAACTTTGGAAGAGCAAGGGAGAACGAACATCTTCCCGACAGCAGTGCGCTTGTGGTTGAGTGGAGCAGGACTGGTTACGTTGGTCCAAGTCAGTTAAAGAGAGAGGGTCATTGACGTCGGCTTTGCTTACATGTGACAGAAGGTGCACTACCAGGTCTCGTATCCAATGATTGCGTCGCTGTTGGCCCCTTCCAAAATAACTCCACTTAGCGTTGCCGCGTGTCTAATTCCCAGACAGCGCAACCTCAAAAGCCGTTCGCACGAGCTCTACGGATCGCATTGCTCAAAGGGCAGCGGAGGCGAAGCACTTTCTTTGTTTTTGGCCTGCAGGAGTCAGGGCGGGCGGGCCGCGACGGTCTAAAATCCACCTGCATTCTGTACTATACATACGGAGACATGGTGAGTCACCCTTGAATTGGAGGTTCTTCCTAAATATCTGCGGGCAGTTCCGCCTCCCGGTTTTGTATCCAAGCGGGCCAGCAATGTTCTAATTACACCCCTTGTCTTGGCGAAAATGAGATGCCCCGTCGCGGGCACTTACTAGGTCCTTCGAACCAATTCCTCAGGATGATATTGTCCGTAATATGCTGATGGCGTTCCGGTTTCCAAAAGCGGGCGTTGTCCTTACTTTGTGCCATCTTTGTGCAGCAACGCATCAAGCACATGCTGACGGCCAACTTCGAGGAGCAGCGCGGGCAGCACGGGCGCAGCTACGAGAGCGCGGAGGCGCAGTTCGAGGTCAATATGCAAAACCTGCACCGCATGGTGAGGCTCCCGAAAGTCGCAGAAAAAGCGTCCTTGCAGTCTATCTCGCAGAGTGCTCTCTAGACAGAGTATCTAAGGTAGCCCTGTTTGCAGTACGCTCCCAACCTCTCGCTACCGTGGAAGCTGGTTCCGATAACAGATCTGAAGCAGCAGCCTGCCAGACTTCGTGAAAAAAACGGTCTAATGTATCCAGTCTTGTATCAAGTGCAATAACTCTAAACTACTTGAGACGGCGGCAGGTGGCTTGGACGATGCTGTACCGAGCCCGTTCATCATTCTCGGCAAGCGATGGCCGAACTCCTCGGACAGAATAAGATTTTCGTCTTCAGTCGCCATCATTCCAGATAACACGACTCAAAGGGAACACAAGCTCGCAGTCTTTCGAGAGCAAAGATGACTGACCCGACATGCCCCTCCCTCTCCCCCCGTTTCCAGGTTGCGTACTGTGACAATGACGTGGACTGCCGGCGGACCCTCCAGCTGGCGCACTTTGGGGAGAACTTCGACGCCGGGCTCTGCAAGGGCACCTGCGACAACTGCGCCAGGGGGGCCACCTTCGTGGAGACGGACGTCACCGAGGCAGCGCAGCAGCTGGTGGGTACTCCGTCATGAAATAGCAGCAGAAAACGGAAAAGTCCTCCATCAATGTGTCTCTCTCAATTCAATCAAGAAGGGTCGCGGAGCTTCTTTTGCCATCGCATTCGTAACTTTCTCCGAAAGGAGCTGGCTGCTTGCGGCTCAGAGCACATGCGAACCGCCTCGAACGAACCGCATCTTACCTTCGCCGTGCTTCTCCTCTCGATACACACTGGTGCGCTGACCTGTAGCCTCAAACTTCGTCTCTAAAATCCTTAACCCCCTGAAGTTTCAACAGCCTGAAACCGCTCATCACGCTTTCTCTGCTTGGCCCAGATCCGGATCATCCACGACCTCGGCCAGCGCTCCACGCTCAGCTACGTCGTGGACGTCTTCCGAGGGGCGAACACGGCAGCGGTACGTGCTTTTCTTGTGCTTTTCTTTGAAGTGGTTTTGGACCTCATGGCGAAGCTTTCTTTCGGTTCGTTCAATGCAAGACGACAGCAGTTGGCTGAGAAGGGACGCTCCGGCATCACTTCTAAGTTCGTTCCCCTGTTCCGTCCTCTAGCGAGGTCGAGCGGAGTGGAATTGGCGGTTTTACATGAGATTTCTCTTGAGCGTTCCTTTCCTCATTTCTGTCCGTTCAGCACTTCTTGTTCCGCCGGCGTAGGTCAAGATGCAACTAGTAGATCCAGTTGCCTCTGCAAGCAGGGACGTAAATCGATTGTCCTTCTCTCTCGTCTTCAAACGTCGCATCCGCTCACTGCGTTCCGCTTCCGTCCTGCTGGCGCAGGTCAAGAAGCAGCGGCACGACCAGCTGCCGCTGCACGGCGCCGGCAAGAAGTTTACGAAGGGCGAGGTGGAGCGGATCTTGCACCGAATGGTCTCCGAGCAGATCCTGGTGGAGGACCTCTCCAAGAGCGAAAACTACGGCAGCATTCTGGCCTATCTCAGGGTAGGGACTCTGACTCGCTCAATTTCTTTCAGAGACTGGCTCCCTGATGTAGGAGAATTTCGTGGCGATCTGGGTTCTAATCAGCGGCTTGGTTCTCTAAGTCCGAAGTTCATATGTTCCTGCTTTTCGGTCACCTTCTTCGCTGACCGGACCTCTGAGCGAAACTCCCACTTGTTGCTGTATCGTTGTGAGGCCTGTACATGCGAGTCGCTGTTGGATTCAGACAAGAGAAGCACTTCTTGACTCTTGACTCAGGGTTAAAGAGCTCCAAACAACGGCAGGGCCAATAGAAGCCCAGACTGGGCAGGATCCAACACCGCATCTCTCACCTCCACTCTCAACCTGTCAACCTCTTATTTTCCAAAAGTGAGACTGGCAACACAATCTCTTTCTTTCTTTCTTTCGTTGCCAGATCAACGACCGGCCTGCGTCGGACGTGGTCGGCGGGCGGATGACTCTCACGGTGAAATTCGCGGCGACCAAGAAGCCGGAACTGCCCACTACGAGCCGCAAGCAGGCGCGACCGGCGCCCGACGAGTCGCCGATCCCGAACGCCGGGGCGCTCCCGGCCCGAGCACCCGCACCGCCACGGATGACAGCAGAGGAGAAGGTGGGAGAAAAGGTTCAGATATGCCGTGATGTGTGTGTTCGCTTTCTTTCCTGGTTTGAGTCTGAGCGGCTTCCTTTTAAGGTCGGCTAAAGGAAGGACTTCATGAGCTGGCTAGGTGCGAAAGCCTGGCGGGACGGCGATTTTTCCGAGAGAGGGCTCTGCAAGTTTCATGTCGAAGGCTTTCCAAGGTAAGTACTGCCTTACAACGCGCTTCTGAGTGCCTCTAGCGCAAATTTCCACACGACAACTTCTTGGCGGATGCCTATAAAAGTCGGTCGCAGAAGAGTTCGTGCTGGGCTTTTCAATTCACAAGTATGTGTAACTGCAGCCGATGATTACAATCTGCTGACGTAACCCTGATGCAATTTGCGCTTTTGCAGGCGTTCTCTGCTCGCGTGTACGAGGAGATCGACCGGCGGCGCAGCGCGTGGGCCTCCGAGGAGTCCAAGGGCACCATGTTCATGCTGCCGTACCACATCTTCCCGTGAGTTTGCCGCCACCCTTCCGCGTGTGGTTGCAATGCTTTTTGAAGGCTGTGAGATTGGATCTTTGCTTCTCTGTTGCCTCAAGGTAGCTTTGAAAGCAACCTTCTGCTTCTGTAAACCCCAATAACCACTGGCTATAGGGCGGGAACAATCCCGCCCTATAGCCAGTGGTTATTGGGGTTTACACAATGCTTTGCGGCGGTCTCCATATTCGAGCGCGCATGAGCAGGGGAGGGATGCAAGGGTCGCCAGAGAATCAAAGGGTACCCTGTCCTTGACTTAACAATTATTTATGCGGCTCTTTCTCATACGGCTTTGCGTTTCCTTTAAGGCTGGTGGCGTCGAGTTCTTGGGAATCAGAATTGTCAGCTTTCCAGTTCTGGGAACTCAACTTCGCCGCGGGCTTTCGTTTGTAAGTCAAGCTCAAGGTCCAGGTCGATCAACCACATTTTCCAAGCATGCAGTCAGCCACTTTGCAGGCAAGGCACTCCCTTCCGTCCGTAATTAGAACCAACGTCTTGCTTGCATGCGTCCAGGAACACGACGCTGCAGACCATCGCGAAAAAGCTGCCCGTGACGCTGGCACAGCTAGGGGAGATCGACGGCATCAAGAAGTGAGCTTTCGCAATCCGCATATCTTGATATTCTGGTCTACCGGGCTACAGTCAGATTTGCCACGGTGTTCGGGGCCCACTCCCAACGGCCCTGTAAGAGGATTGCCGTCGCTTCTGAAGACATTGATTTCTCCTCTGAAAATTGGGATCGCTCTTCTCACACCTGATTTGAAACTGCTTATGTTGGGTGTGCTTTCTCGAGGCCCAAACAAGGATTGAGCTGACCAAGAGATACTGCAGTGACTCTCGTCTACGGTCCTTCACTTCTTGCTATTTGCGTCTCCCTTCCATAATCTCATTACGCACTTTGCCCAAGCATGAGCCGTTCGACCGTTGGCCGAAGCAAAGCGTACGCCCAAGAGGTAAAGACCAAATTCCATTTCAAACAACAGGTTAAACCAAAGTGCATCGCTAACCCGAGCCTCTGTATCCACAGGAAAACGATGAAGCAGCGGGGCCCCGAGATCGTGGCCGTCATCCGGCAGATGGTCGCCGACCGCGACGGCGTGCCGTACGTACCGGAAGAGGTTCCCGAGAAAGCGCCCAAGAGCCGGCGCGCGAAGCCGGCCAAGCGAGGGCGCGAGGCTGGGGACAGCGCGCAGAAAGAGCCGCCAGGTAAGGAGAGGGGTTTCTCGAGGTGTTTTGAGGGACTGTTTGGAGCTTCTAGTACACGGTGTGAATCGTGCCTCTTAGTGCCCAAGAGTGAGCGCGCAAAGCCGGCCAAGGCTGGGCGGAAGGCCGGAATAGCGCGCAGAAAGATCCGCCAGGTAGGGGAAGGAGCTTTTCACATCAAGTTTTTGAGGGACTTGGTTGGGGCTTCTTAGTACACCGGTGTGAATTGAAGCGCGCTTAGCGCCCAAGAGTGAGCGCGCGAAGGCAGCCAAGCGAGGGGCCGAAAACAGTGCGCAGAAGCACTCGCCAGCTGGAGCGAGGGGGTTTCCACACCATTCGTGTAGGAAAGTTCAAACCTTCTGATAGACGGGTGGGACAGTGCGCAAAACATCCGCCAGGTGGGGCGACGGCTTGTTCATATCACCGCTTGAGGGAAAATTTGACATTTCTTACACAAGAGTGTGGTTCTGCGCCCCTTGAGGCGCTTCGACGCCCCTGCAAGAGCAGACTTCTCGACTGTGCCGCGAGTTCGAGGGCTGTTTCAGACTTCCGTGGCTACAGCGTTAGCGCTTGTTGTGTGCCACGTTTGTCTTATCTTGATTGCATAGGCCGACATTGCGGCTGCGATCTCATGTCCAGAAAGAGCTCAAGTTTTCGGTGTATCTTCCACAGCGTCTCGCACAAGGGAGCGGCGGCCGTACCAGAACCCCGAGAGCGACGACGAGATCGCAACCATGATGGACGACAGCGATGAGGAGTTCGGGGCGCGTCCCCCCGCAGCCCCCGGCCCCGTAAAAAGGAGCCGGGACGGACAGGTTGAAACCCGGGACGGGCTGGTGGATTTGGACGAGAACCAGGGGTGGCGAGATACGAGGAGACCGAGCAGCGCGGACCTTGCGAGCCACCAATGGGGGACGTTCCAGTTCCAAAAAGTGTATAAATAACGAAAAAACCGACGCTCATTTCGCTTGTCAAGTGCCAATATTGCACGAGTTGTTCCATGTATGCGCTGGGATAGATATCGTGTTCGATTGCATCAGAAAGTGTGGACTGTATTTCCACTCGTAACCAGGATTAAAGACCGACTTGGAATGTATTCAAACCCCTTCTTCCGACTATATATGAAAGATTCTCTTCATAGGGTCAGAATTCAAAGCACAATGTTGGTTGACGGTGCCGGCCAAGGGAGAGCTGGCCAACAATCACCTCCGGAAATATCACGTGTTGCCCCTTGGCCAAAAATCTCAGAATCACATCACGTGGGCCAAAACCTTCTTTGTATGCGCAGTCCTTGGAGCGTGCAACATGGCAACATCAAGTTTATAGGTGTGTGTAATTGGGGCAATCTAGAGAGCTCCTTAGTTGGAAACAGCACAGGTACATACGAGTCGATTTTACCTAGCTTCATGATGCATGCAGCGCGGCCGCGCCATGCATGCACAATGTAACATGATACGTGTCCATGCACTGACCGTCAGCGGCATATGCAGCTCCATGCAATCATGAACGTGCATGATGCGTCGTGCATCGATCATATCACGCGATCGATATGCGGCTGAGTAGGCCCGTGGCCGGGCTCCTCGCGCTAGCACACCGATGATCAGTAGAACTAGCTTGCAGAGCAAAGCAACCATCGTTGCAGTGCAGTTGATGAAGTCAAACAATTGGCTTGCACGCCAGAGTCGATGGCTGCAATCAAAGGATAGGACAGGCTCTGGGCGGCCACAATGCGAGCAGGCCGGACTCTCATTGATCAGCCAATGATTTAGATGCACACGGGACTAACTCTTCAGTCCATTTTAGTGACGGATACATGACCAAGCCTGTCTGCTCTTCAAGCAGTTCATAACCAAGACCTTGGAAGTTGTTCAGACGTTTTCTAATCTTCAAGGACGGTATATGCTCCAACATATTACGGGTCAGCTGTAGTTGAGAATCTTTGCGAGCTCTTCACAAAACGCTGAATTTTCGCGATTAGAGGGGCGCCAGATCAAGACCGTTCCCGTCTCCGAGAGATTTCATCTTCATTTCCACAAAAGGAAAGGCGACTTCCCCTGCAAGTGGTCCTAACACAGTACCTGCAGAAGACACAAACCAAGTTTGTTAGGTGACAAGGCGCTCATGTTGCCCAGCAAGAAAATGTCAGCATAAGAAACCTCCCCAAATGTCGATCCCGTTTGTGAACCTCTACTTTTCCAGCGGACGATGCGCGCACCACTAAGGACTCGAGCCTTTGAGAATGCGCGGAGAAGACAGAGCAGCGGCCCGGCCACGTTCAACACAGACTTTGGCCCCTTTGAAATGAACACTGCGAAACGAGTCGAGCAGAATATGCAGGACAGTACGATCTAGACTTTTGAACAGGGGAAGAAATTCAAGGTTGAGGCCCAATATTGTGGTCGCCGCGTGCTGATATGGCAAATGTACCATCCGACGCGCTGCGATATACGGAGCCTCTTGGTTCGTAGACGCGCTCCCTCCCAAAAAAGAATCTGGAAAGAAGCAAAAAAGGAGGAACAAAGATTTAACGAGGCCCCTCACCGACTAAGGTCCCCTTGCCCGGCCACAGGAACGTGCCGACGGACGCGCCCAACGCAAACGCGACGAGATACACCAAGTTGCGCAGCGTGTTCCTCTTCATCCGCTTTGCGAGCACGCATAACCCTTGCCGCTGGTCCGCGTAGTGATAGCAGTCGTACGCATCGACCCCAAACTGGACGAGCCAGCTCGCCGCGAGGAACAGGAGATAACCTGCGCGGACGGAAACATGGGGGAGGGGTCACAAAAGGATGTAACAAACGAAAACGGAATATGCCTGACCCTCTGGCGGACTTGGACGGCGTCAAAAATGCAATGGTTACAAGCACCAATGACCATATTGTGAGATCTTGGCAGCGAGCAATCCGGTAAGTAGTAGCAATCATAGGCAATCGATTGCAAAGTGGACGAGTTGGCCGCGAGGAAGAGGAGGTAACCTCCAGGGAAGGTAAGAAGGGGGACGAGTTTCGGGATTTGAAAGATCATACAATCAATGTTTACGGTCTTGGGGAGCAGTTTTACCAGGTCTTTGCCCCGTGCAATCTGCTTCGTCCGTGCATGAACTATGCCAGCCAAAAGACCTTTCAAGGAGGCCGTCATTTAGGGCACAGTAGAGAAGTAGAAAGGAAGCAAAAGAAAGGGACCGGGTACTTGGGCTGAGACCATTGTTATAAGATCTAGGCCTTAGGTTGAGGCTTGGCACAAGAAGCGAGGGGCTCTCGCAAATGACTGGTCCAAGCTTTACAATCTGGCAACTAGAGGAGTCTTGTATGGCGGCTTGACTGGCGTTCCGCCAGAAACGATTCTGCAAACCCTGCCCGCGGAACTGCCATAAGGTCCCGGAGATTTGCCACAAAAGCAGAAGAGAAACAGAGCAAGAAATGATCGGAGATTCTGTACAGGATCAACGTTCAAGGATGAGAAAGTTTTCCCACCTCTAGATGCGGTTGCGAACATTCGCCAGCTCGTCGACAAGCGGCCCAGCCCCCGCCCCGACTTTCGGACAGCTGATGCATTCAGATCTGCACAACAAGAATCTGCTTTGAGCTCTTTCTGCATGTAGCACAGGGGGAGAGCAGCTCCACTAAATTGACGGCAGGCTCCAGAAAACGGTAACCGATTGAGCATCTCAAGGGGTGAGGAACAGCGTTTCCAAGTGGTAGCGCTGGCGCCAGAATGAAAGGGTGAAAACTGAGTGATTCTAAGACTACAAGTCTGGTATCAGCAAGTAAGGCATTCTTTTCCCAATCAGTTGTATTGATGAGCCCCGTCAAAAACAAGGGTAGAAAAACACCGTTAAGATCGTTTTCCTGAACAAGTACTAGCGAAACACTACGGTCTGAAAACAAATATTGTAAAGACTTTCAACGACTTCTTTTCTTTCCTTTCGTTCATAAGGATTCAATCACTTCTCGTCACCCTGTGCAAGGGGACTAGACAGCCTACAGGAGTGATCAAGGCAAAAGCAAGGAGCGGATGCTTGCCCTTAGTCAGCTTCCACGCCGTGCGCCTCTCCATGTGTTCCACGGCCCAGAAGGCAAGCACCTTCTTGGTTGCCCCTACAGCGAGCTGCAAGGCAGTGAAAGCTCTTTCAACAACAGCCTTATTCAGACTACTTTCGCCATTCTCCTTCTTACATGTCAATCCGATTGCTACTGATCAAAATTCAACATCTTACTAATCAGCGACCACAATGCGAAGCAAGATACGACGCTCTTCTTTCCAAGGGTGACTAGACATGAGTCCTGCGGCCGCGAGACAGGCTCGAAAAAGCAGCTTCGTTCAGACTCCGAAAGACCATGCCTGGAACTTGGGGGTATCCAGACGAAAGCATAAGATGAGCAACTCAGAAGCAAGGACAAGCCCGAACATTGACTCCCTGGCCATAGTTTTACACAAACACATGGATGTGACGTCGTCAGTTTCCGCTGAGCTGTGAACAAGCTAGTTTTCACAATCAACTTAGAAAATTTGAACATCAGCCCTATGAGTGGTGGTGCAAGTAAAAGTCACGATCCCCAGGGAACACAAAAGTGGGCAGCTTGCTCACCTCGCGCAAGATGGCCCTCCAACACTTCTCCATTTGCTCCTCCATGTTAGGCGGAGGTCCCATCCTTTCCCTCTGCACTTCGTCTTCATCATCCGAATCCACTATTGCATTCTCCTCCTCTACTTGCTTCTTCCAATACTCAACGAACGGGCCAATTGATTGCAGGAGGTTACGCAGGACTAGATAAAGAAAGTTCCTCCCCTTGAAGACAGCGTTCAGGGGCTCAATCTTGATCTCGTGATGTTTGTAAGCATAGAATAGGGTCTGCCCGTACAAGGGTGGAAGATACAAAGCTTGCTTCTCCTCTGCCGTGTAATAGTTCTCATTCACGGAGGGAATGAAAGACTTTGAGTGTGATGACTCAGGAGAGGGGCATTTTGTAGCCAGTGGTGCAATGCTGAGGCCCTCCACAGAGGACGGTGTTTGTACAGGATGTGGTGGTCGCAAGTTTGCAACAGATGCACAACTTTTACTTTCCAGATCCGCCCAAGGAATGAATGCATTCCCCTGGCTACGCCCCAGGACAAATGTGACCGGCCTCCTCCAACGGTCCCTTCGTTGTGGTCCGAATCTTCTGTCCGCCATTGTTTGTGCACTACCTCTTACAATTTATGCTGCTCGCGAGGGGCTGACGATGTCGCAAAACAAGCTGCGCAGTTCAATCGGGGACGAGCAAGAAATCTGCAAACCCTTCTGTAGCTCGACGAGGACCATTTAAGGACCTGCACTACTTAGCTGTTGCAGAAAGCGCTTGGTTCGTACCCTCCTGCTTCTCAGCTTTCTGGTGCATCACACTTTCTGGTGGCGCTTGCAACTTCTCAGCTTTCTGGTGCATCACACTTTCTTCTTTGTGCAGGTAGACAGAAGCCTTGCACAAGTTTTCTAGGGTTCTGGAGTGCAATTCAGCTGAAACTCCAATGCAGGGTTGATTAGAGCTCAGCCGAAATTGCCACGTGTATTAGTCTGAAGGTCCTCGAGGCGTACGATTGACATGATCTATCAATCCAACCGTCCAATTTTGCTTTCCCCTCGTCCTGAACTGTCACCCTCTGATTTCGGCTTGACGGGCTTGGAAGGTCTTAACACTTCCATCCAGCTTTCGAGCTGCTCTGTTGTGGTGGTGCTCGGCAGGGAAAAGCGCTTCTCGAAGGTCTGTTTGGAGGGGAAAGCTGCACGTAGAGTTCTCATTGGTGTTGTTTCTATCAACCAAGCAAGCAGGCATGAGCTACCAGGACGGAGGCGATGCCCCGAGCGAGCGCCCCAAGCTGAAGCTCGCTCCCCGGAGCGGCAATGCACCGTCTGGGGGGGCTCCGGCGACCAAGGTAAGCAGTTGCCGGCGTTCGCAAGATTTTCGTGGTTGAGGACAATTGCGGACGAAGCTGGAAATCCAGTTGATCGGAGCCTGCATCCCCCCTCTAATGTGTGTTGATATCAATGTAGAATTGCTATGAATGGACATGTATAATGCAGAGCGCATTTGGCAAGATGACAAGGATAGTCTCATGGTGTAGCAAAGTGTGCAACGTAAAGCCGTGTCTAGGCTCCTCATCTCATATTTGCCGTTTGTTGCTAATGGCACCCAATCTTTGCTTCATACCTTGTTGATGTAGTACCATTACCAGCTGGAATAGCTCTGCACCTGGAGCTCCTGGAAGTTGCAAAAGACAATCTGCTGAGTGTCGACAAATTGCTCAATCTGAGCTGAATGGAACTGATAAGTTTCCTTCCTGTCCTGCAGTCAAGCATCTTTGGAGCTGCGCGGCCCCGTGAGGCCATCATCGCTGAGAGAGAGGGCAAGGCTGAGGAGGAGATTATCAAGGAGGCCGCGAAGAAGGAATGGAAGCCTACGGTGAGTGCAAATGCACCACCCTTCTGATCAATTGTGATCCTTTTCTGGTGAAGTTGATGTAGACAACGTCCAATGTACATGGTTGTGATTTCCTCAAATACTCTTCTCTTAATGTGCACTCGGCTGCTCAAGCAATACTGTCTTGAACAAGTCGGTGTCTTAATGTAGAGAAGGTAATTGTTGTGTCAATGTTGTCATTAGTTTCTCTGAGTTCTTCCATGTACCACCGAACTGCTTAAGGGCCTTCGTCTACTTCAGCAGTCTCGCTGTCATCCACGCCTGTTTACCAGGACTCTATTGGCCGCAGTCTCCTCTGGTTACATCTTAATCTTTTCTTCACTTGGTCGAGTACCTGTATTCTACTTGAGAATTTGGTATTGCCAGCGGCACTGAATGCATTTCATGATTCATTTGCAGCTCGTTTTGAGCGAGGAGCAGAAGGAGGAGAAGAAGGCACTTGAGGCAGAGCTGGCCTACGCAAAGGACCAGCTCGAGAAGGCTGTTGACCCGCTCAAGGCCAAAGATCTCAAAGAGGAAGTGGCAGAGAAGGAAACCAAGCTTGAGGACCTGTTGGCATCGTTTGAGGTAAGTCCTACTGTTCCGCAATCTCGTTGTCGCTTATGCGTTGAGGTTATGAATGATTGTCCACTGTGAGAAAGCCAAAATGTTGGAGGTCAATTGCTGTTTCAACTTTGTGTTCAACTTTGAGGCGAAGTGCGAGAAGTGAGATGGTAACGGTTGTTCATCTCTTCCTCATGCCTTTCCGGACGACCCAAGTAGGTGCCGAATGTGTTTTTTCCCAGGATTGTCGTGTTGTGCCTGAATTGAGTCATGCTTACCGACGTCATGTTACTCATGTTATCAAGGAAGTGCCTCTGCTAAGCTCAGGTGTTTGATTAGAAAGTCTTGAGTATTTTTATCAGGCAAACGATTTCTTTATCTGGGGGAATTTCCAAGGAGGAGCCTGCATAATGCATCAGCTCAACAATTTTGGAACAAGTTTCAGAGGTCTTTTACTTTTGAGTTTGTCTGACATTAACTTACGCTCGACTCTTATTGAACCCAATTGAAGTGGTCGCGATCTCTGTGTTGTTTGTGTGCTTCCCTTTGGGGTGGCAATGCGCAAAGCTCTTAGACACGCGTCTGGGCTTGCCGAATTATTTTACCACTCTCTCTGCTGCATTTTCTGGAAAACCTTGTTGGCATTGAAGTCCGTCGTCAAGGATACGTACAATATTATTCCCCCTCCCGCTTATCTTTCTTCGCTGTCTCCTGTTGCTGTAATAGTCCCCTCTCTTTGCTACCCTTGTCTCCACACCAGATAGCCAGCGGCGGCTCCCTGCTTCCCAGGACTACACCAACAATCGGTGCAAATCTCAGGCCTTTTTCTTACCTACACATACACGACTCACCCCTTCTTTGCGAACGTTGCAGAAGCTGGCCGTGACAGCAGCGCAGAGCGGGGGGGTGGGGAAGCGCCCCTCTGAGCGCAAGCGCGATGCCGAGGAGCGGGCCGGGGGCGGTCAGCCTGGATATGGTGGCGGAGGCGGTGGATATGGGGGCGGCGGTGGTGGATACGGGGGCGGCGGCAGAGGCGGGGGGGGTGAGAGTTATGGCAACTTCAGTCAGGGACGGGACCGTGAGCCTTATGGGGATGCGTGGGCTGGGAAGAACGGCGGCGGCGGCCGGGGGGGAAACACCTGCTACAATTGTGGAGAGGTGAGGGCATGTTTTTTAGCACTGAGTTGACGAACTTACTTAATTTTCCAGGAATAACCAGGCATGGGAGATGAGGGGATCGGGCCTTGGCGAGAAGCAGCACTATGATTGACAGTCTTGTTGGGAGCAGGGGATCGAAGCCTGCTTGATGAACTAATGTGCTGTCCTTATTTTGGTGTTCTTCGCGAGACACAGGAGTTGGACAGCGTGCCCGGATAATCAGGACACAAGAGCAGCGATTTATTTTGCAGGGATAGAGCAAAGCCTCGGTGGGGCCAAAAGATTGACCCTTACCCGAGATTTCGTTCCTCTCGTGGAGTGCGAGGCAGTCTGCTCTTGCTTGTAGAGAGATAGCTTTGATGTCATTGCTTTACTCTGTGAGAGATATCTCAGCTGCCGCGTTCATGGTTTTACTTGCGGAATCGTAGTAATTTTTTGGCCCCACCTTCGCCGGCACTTGGTTTTGAAACGGGACTGAGGTGGCCAGCAGACCGCAGCTCGTTTTGAACTCGTGTCCGTCTCACTGCACCTTGTTCAATTGGCTAGTTACCGGTTACTCGTTTAGCGCCGGCATCGGGTTCTTGTTCGTAACTGCGTGATGCGGGGCATTGATGGGTCCGAGCATCTCTCCTTGGCGCCCTAGTCTTTTCGGCCCAACACTGATCTTTCCTTTAACCACAGAATGTCTTCCGTACTCGTGCAAGACTTTTGCATCCTCCTTTTATGTCGCCAAGTAACAAGGCTTATACGTGCTGTGTCCGCTTATGTGTAAGAAAGCCGTTTCCCCCCCTGGTGTCTCTCCCAGCCAGCTTCGTGCTGCCCGAGTAGACCCGGGCGCTGACGGCGGCCCGACCCTTTGGCGCTTTCTTGAGATGCCCCTGGTTTTGAAGCCCAATTCACAAATTTGGCCCATGAACCTGACTGCAAGCTTAACCCGGAGTTTCATCCCTGGGTTTGTAATGTCGCACCCCATCCGTGCAGGTGGGACACATCTCGCGTGAGTGCCCGAACCCCCCGAGCGAGGGCTCCCGCGGGTATGGCGGAGGTGGCGGCCGATCCGGTGGCGGCGGTGGCCGGGCCTGCTACAACTGCGGAGAGGTATGTCGAAGTCTTTGGGCTGCTTATTAGGGGCCTGCAATAGTTGACGCGGCGCTGTACTAAAAACACCTGCCCAACGCCCGTGTCTTGAGCGGCAGATGATTCGGAGGGAGGCCATGTCTCTTCTCCTGCACTTACTTGCCGTGCTGATTGGGTGACTGCTGTTGATGTGGAAGGAACGGGGTGTGCGTATCAACCATTAGGTCTATGGTCACCTCATTCAACGGGAATTGGCTGCACTGGGCTATGAAATTGGTTGCACTGGTTTGGGCTAGTAAGGAGCATGACCGTCTTGGGAAGGCTGTTTGTGCCATTGGCGATGAAGTATGGAGTCCCGATTCGTCATGTGGTTTGTCAGAATTTGTTGTCCGTTGCCTCCAGGGGTCTTCAAGGTAGACCCGAATTGCGTCCCTGGACATATTTATCGTCAGGTCGAAAGCTGGACTACTACCGTACCTGTCTTTAATTTCGTCACCTTCGACGCCAAATAAAGAATCATGAAACTTTCTATCCTTTCGGCAGGCCTAGAGTTACCCGCTAAATCAACCACTATCGAACCATTATCGCCTCTCAATAATTTGCGAAATTTTCGGCAGGGCAAATGATCCTTTAATCTTTGCCGAAATCAGATACAGGTACGGTAGTCCATTTGCATTCCCGGCATTTCAACATCGCAGTCACCAGAAGAACAGGGAACTGCTGCTGGTCATGGTGATCAGTCACTGATATCGAACGTGCCCCTTGCAGGAGGGCCACATCTCCCGCGAGTGCCCCCAGCCCCGCAGCGGCGGCGGCGGCGGCAGCTACGGCGGAGGGGGCAGCTATGGCGGCAGTTACGGCGGCAGTCGCGGGGCCGAGAGCTACGGCGACCGTTACGGATCTGGGGGGGGCGGCTATGGAGGCGGCGGCAGCTATGGCTCAGGTGGCGGCAGCTATGGCGGTGGGTACTCCGACAGCAACTCGCGCTTTTAGGGGGGCACTAGGCGTGACGAGAGCGTGACGGTCGAGGCACCCCAGAGGAAGATGAGCTTGTTGGTCAAGAGTCGTGTGGGGCTCGTTGAGTTTGATAAGTCCTTGGATAGGGTTCGGATGGGGCGTTGCGGTCGTTTGCGTGCGCATCAGCAAGTCGAGCTGCGCAGGTAAGTGTCGCTAGTATAGTTACCAGTGTCCGAAAGACTCACTGCAGAAGTGTGCTGATAGCTTGAATAGCTGAGAGTGTGGAGAGAATGATCTGGGGATCACACGATGCGCTTTGCATCCGTGACAGGCGGCCGGGACCGTGGTTACGATAACGACGACTCTCGGGGTGGGAGCTATGGGGGCCGTGGAAGTTCGGATTACGGCGGAAGCTACGGTGCGCGAGGAGGCAGCTACGACGGCTATGGGCAGGGCGGCCGCGGCCGGGACTACTGAAAGTTGCTTGCAGAGTTTGGAATGGCCAGATGCGATGTTCTACCTACAGTCTTGTGGTCCTTGGTTGAACTGATAGAGCCCCCTCGTGCTCGTGTCAGGGTGGCGAAGTCAACTGTCGGGTTGTCTCGTCACAAGCGACACTGTTTTGTGAGCGTTTATGTGATATGTCAGAGAATGAAACTCAGAAGTTGTTCATGTGATGTCATAGCGCTACAACCGCGGGTCTTTGTCCAGGCAAGAGAGGCTGTTCTTGTTAGCGTCCGTCTTTGCAAACTCTACCTGGATAATTTAGCTGTTCGTTTTCAACTTTAGCTGGGCCCTATCTCCCGGATGCAATTTGCAATCTGCAAGGTAGCATCTCTGTATGCCTGTCACATGCATGGTTCCCACCCCGTCACCACTCAGCCTTTTACTAATAAGTTTCACTATGATATAGTATCACCATTCAATAGACGGGTCGTCGTCAGTGCGACGTGGATACTTCTTATAATTGCACGACATGGTATTAGTAGTACTCATGCATTTTCTCGAGATTTAGTCACTCGCCATGCATATATATGGATTGCGAGGCCCCATGTCCGGCCTGCATGGCCCTACGTCATGCAGAATTTCGTGCATATGCCGTCAGGACTCGACGGCCAAAATTAACATGCTGGCGCGGCCGGGTGCATTGAAGCAGTTGAAAGTAACGAATCGACCCCATACGAAGCCATGGCCGTGGCATTGATTCCATGCATGTTGATTTCCGCGCCCATGCTATACCATGTCACATTTATGATATAACATACACGCGCAATTCAAATTAGCCCAAGGCTAGGTACCTTCATGCCATAGGCGCACCCACCATGGCATGATACTCCAATCGAATTGCATGGATGAACGCAGGCTAGTGTAGCTTGTGTATATATTTCTCGACGTACCGTCAACCCCAATCCTCCATGCAAGCTAGGGCGTTCAAGGCCTGCAACAATGGACATGTTCAGGTGAAATCAAATCGTATTCAGAAATAGGCACATGTAAGTGATTGTGTAAGTTAGATCATGGCTGGCGCCGTATGCCACATGGCCCGTAACTAGAACAGGCTGTGCGAAAGGCTCACAGGAAGTACGCTCTCGGCCACAAAAGATGCTAAGAATAGCCGCACAAGCTGGATTCGGCTGTCGACAATTGGATATACATATCAACACAATTCCGGCCGTGTTGGGCGACTGCTAACGTTGCTACAGTCCCTTTCAATGCCCGGTTGACTTCCAAGGTTTGTAGAAATAAGGTATAGTGAAGGTCCGCGTGGTCAAGCACCCAAGCCGATGTAAATGGTCGCTTTTTGGGCATGCTTCGTTCATCTGCCTGCACTTTTCAGCACCCCGCTAGGAGCCGGAAAACGCAGACTGGACTGTGCAAATCCGGCAGGAATGCGCGTTTACTATCCAACGCTCGCAAGAAGATGGTCTCGGGGGCAGTCTCCACTTTCCCAGTCTGTGCAGCGTACTCGAGCGCCATCTCATTGTCAACCTGGGTGCACAGGAAGCGACTATGCATCAGGTTTTGGCCTGTCGGCTGGTGTAACAGCCCTCTTGCCAGAGACGTGCCGGTTGTCAGGCGGATTATGAGTGAGGCCTGCAAATGGCAAACAATACGAAAGGCGGGTCCAAAGGGAACAACGCCAGATAAATACACGGTTCTTGATCAAGTAAAACGAACGGCAACCAATAGCGCCAAAACCCTGACTAAGGAGCAGGTTAAACAGGGTGTCTGCTCTACGTGGCTTGCAGCGACACACAGAGAACGGGTCTCGACTGTGTGTCGCTGCGAATGTAAACCACGTGGTTTCTGCGAGCGACTGCGAAGGTAAAAGCTCGGGTATCTGGTCGCCCTATGAAGAATGCTCCACGACCTCCTCCTTAAAAGAGGGCATCAGATCTCAAGCTACATCCGTGGATCCGAGGGAAAAGGTCATCCAACGGCCCACATCCCATCTGCAATCTTGCCCTCGGCATCCAAACTTGCCTCGGTTGTGGGCAGTATCTGGTCGCCAGACGGGGGACCAGTCCCCCGACGCGTTCTTTGAGTGACAACCACACACGATCCAGGCAGACGACTCAAACAGCAACCGGCGACAGCCGCCCGGGAACCCCACCTGCTCCACGTGCTGCGTCAGCTTCTGCCGGAGCGTCTCCTCGGTGACTTCCTCCGAGACGACCTTCTCCAGCAGCGCCGCGTCCCCGGGGGGGAGCTCCGTCCGGCGCCGTTTGGAGTCGGCAATCGTGTCCAGGACCTCGAAAACTGCGCGCGTCACGTCGGGGATGTAGCGCGCGAGGTTGCGCTTGCGCTGCTGCCGCTCGCGCGCCTGCTGCTGGCGCACGATCTTGGACTTGAGCTGCAGGCAGCACTGCTGGAGCGCTTGCTGCGGGGGGGAGAAAGGCAGACCCAAAGTTAAGAATAAGGTAGTAGCAACAACAAGAACTATTAGTATTAGCAAAAGTACTAGCGGACGATCTTGGACTTGAGCTGCAGGCAGCACTGCTGGAGAGCTTGCTGCGGGGGCGAACGCGAGATCAGCGAACGAACGGTGGCATTACAATGATAATAGCTGTAGTGTTGACGATTATTGATAAACAAGCCAATCGTGATTGAATTTTCGTGCTGTCAGAAAAGTATCCGGGTGGTGTCCTATCGGACGTAGAAGGACGGTGAAGAAAGACAGATGACGCTTGTGGGCAGGGCGAATTCAGAAGGGAGTCAGAACTGCAGGCAGCACTGCTGGAGGGCTTGCTGCAAGAAGGAACAGGAGCGGAATGCAATATCAGCAAATAATCCTGGTGACGAGAACAATAACCACAGGAGTTTTGGGCCCTTAACCAAGGACGGTTCTGGGCTGGTTAGAAACCGGTTATATGTCCAGTAACCAGCCTCGGGCGTTAGACAGCCTTGGAACAAGGTTAAAGCCCAGTTGACTGTCCAATAACCCGAGCCAAGTCTGGTAGTCGGCCGGGTTAGCAGCCAAAACTTCCCGCGATTGCAAGTGCTTGCAAAAATGTTGGCAATGGTTAAGACTATTGGCGACTCGGTGCGGTCAGGATAGGCCCTTGGAGTGTTTGGGCGGTGGACGTTGAATGAAGGAGAGCGAGAGAAAGAGACAGACAACATGTGTGGGCAGGACGGGCCGGAAGGGGAAGCGAAGTTCCAGCTGCAGGTAGCACTGCTGGATCGCTTGCTGCGGAGGGGAGAGGAGCAGAACCCAATTCAACAAACGAATTGTTGGGGACACCAGAACCATAGTGACAGCAACTGTGTTGGCAATGAGTCAATTTCACAGCCGATAGTATCGGCGTTTCCGTGCTGTCAGAAGCGGCTCCTGGCGTTTCTGGGTGGTGAAGTATCAAAGTGAGGATGGCGAGAGAGGGAAAGAGAGAAAGGCTGTGAGCAGGGTGTGTAGGTAACAGAGAGAAGTGGGGGCCGTAAGGATCGCTATTGGCAGGGAGTCTTCAGAAGCAGCGAGGTCAGTCTCCAGATCAACTCGGCGACTCTCGAGCTGATCTGCTCGTCAGCTTTTCGGCAGTAAGAGACTAGGCGACGACCTGTCTGAGCTTTTTGCCGGTTGCTTTTTTACAGGTAAGCCCGCCTGACGCCGTCTCCAAGGACAACATGACGTTTGCTGAGGCCAGCATACAATGACACAGGCCCGTGTTCGCCGCCAGATCTGAAGTCCAAGATTGAATCCACGCAACAGCGAAACATTCTAAGCGGCCTGAGAGTACAGGTCTCAATACTATGTTGACTAAGGGCCATGTTGACTAAGGAGCGTGCCCGAGGACGGAGAGGGTTGGTTCGGGGGTTAGGGTGGGTTTGGGTGCTAGGGTGGGTTTGGGTGCGGAGCGTGCCATTTCCTGGTTCGGTTTCCAGTTTTCTAAGTTCCACCGAGCACTATCCTTAGTCAACATGCTCTTAAAAGACATGAGAGTGAGAAGTATCTTGAGACTGACCTTGACTGCCGCCGCGATTTCGGGAATGTCGTCACCAATGTATTCCTTCCCCGTGCCCTTGAAAGGGATCTTGGTGCTGACGATGCTGACGAAGACGCCGATCTTATCCGTCGTCTGGTTGATCTTGTAGCTCGCCCAGCTGCATCGAAGCAATATGACGTCAGATGACGCTGAGCAGAATGACGTCACTCGCGAAAGCTGACGTCATCGGGTCCTGTTGTGTGAGAGTTGGCGAAGGAAGCCAGAGGAGAGCCCGTTCTTCGCAGAAGTGGGTTTGCCAGCTCCCGGCAAACTCCTCTCTGAGAGACACAAAGTCGAAAGTCGAAGGACAAAGATTTGATTCGAAGAGCATGACCCGCTTCCAAAGTTTCGATGAAAAACTGACCCAGCAACCTTGTAAAGGCCAGGGAGCCCATACGAGTTTCGCCCCCTACACTATTGCATAAAAGCGACAAATTGCCTCGTAATGAATAAGCTAATGGGGAGAACGGCTCACTTTATCCGCTTCGAGGCCGTCCTCGTGATGACGTCACCGCCCGCTTCGAAGAGCAAAGGGATGCGGTTGGCGAAGCGGAAGACGTTGATGCCCTGCGCACGACAGAACAGGGATTGAACAAATTGGCGCCAGAAGTGGTCGAACCATCTTCTTGTGAGCATAGCCGTTCCAGGATATTTCTACCTGGGACCAACGCGTTCAAAGGGAAGACAACCTCTGCAAAGCGCCGAGTCAAAGGTTCTGGAAAAGGGTTGAGCACCATCCTGCTCTCAAAAGCGAAGTGAGCTTGAGCGGGAATTTTGAGGGCAATCACCCACGCTGCTTTAGGCTGGCAGGTTCCAAAACTAGGAACGCAACGACTTGACGAGACATGGTAGTCCGAATTTATCAAGTCCACACAGCACCTCCGTTGTCTCCTCTGCTTCGAAACCGATTCACGCCTTTGCAAGAAAGTTGGTCACTCGTACGTTTAAGAAGCCAGGTAAGTAACTACGAGCGACGCACGCGTTCGCCACAGTAAGCTTGGCGCTCTGCAGGCAGTTTCTTGAGCAGCGGGAGAAAAATGACGCTGTCTAAACGGCAAACTCTGACCCAAAACGATAGCCGCTTATCAAACTCACGGGCTTCACGTCCTTGCCCCCCAGGCTGAGGCCTGCTTCCACGATGAAGGGATGGCCCTCAAACACCTGCGTGCTGCATTGCGGAGCTAGGTAAGATTGCGTTTGAATCTGACGAACGGCCGAGCCTTGAAGCGGTATCGTATGGTGTCCTCTCTCTTCAGGGTTTCTAGCAAGTCGAGGTAGGCGGGAAGTGCCAACGTTGTTGCAAAGTTGTTGCACTCAACGCCCCAATTTATGACGTTAGCATATTTCAAGACTGCCTGAAAGAGCCCAACTGACGAGATCCCAACCTGTGCTCAGGCGGAGCCCGCAATCGAGCATAGATGGCTGCGTGTTCCGTTGTTGCGCCAGCAGAAGTGTGCACATGCAGCTGATTAGAAGATTGCACACACACCAAAAGGACTGCGCATATGGAGGGATAGAAGAAAGGCCAATGATGGCGTTGAGGAGGATAACGGCGCGTTTCCCACCTGCCCTGATAGGTCGCTACCATATCGGGGTGCAAATCCTTCATGATGCCCAGTCGCATGTTGTACTCTCCAGCGGGGCTCAGGCACTGCAGCAAAACATAGTTGGACTTAGCAGCAAGTTCTTTTAGCATTTCGCAGAACCGCTCAGCGATGAGATCGACTGGAATCAGGCTGCTAAGAGCAGATGCGCGACGGAAGAGGACAATCAGAATATACACCCTTGGACATCCACAGACTCACTTTACACAGCATTGTGGTTGTCTAGTGTAATCTCCAATTGCAAAAAATTCAGCAGATTCACTTTAAGCAGTTGTGAGAGATTGCAATAGAAGCTGCGAACGGGCGGGTTCATGCGGATCGAGACTGACCGAAAGTCAGCAAGCAACTAGGCAGCGCACACACTGACTCTCGACTATGACGTCGAAAAGCCTCTGCAGCGGGTCACAGGAAGGACAACATAAGCAAATTCCAACCACGTCTCGGATCGGGATTCGTCCTCTTGGCGGGTGGCCGCGGACATCACTTTGTGGCGGTAGATTCTCACGTCTCCAGAGGGGTCGGCGAACTTGGCCTGGCGGAACAGTTGGTGTATTCGCGCGACCTGCTGGTCCGTCAGCGAGCGTACCGCCATTTTGGAGGCGAAGTCGGGGCCCATCTCACCTGCAAGACGTGGAATATGGCTCGTTTTCGGTACGCTAACTTCTGATCCATTCAGAGTGTAGTTTAGGGTATCTTAAGCACTAAGGCGCAAGTCCTGCTTTGAAAGGAATCACGCTTGCCGAAGTGGAAGAGAGTTGAGCCTCGTTCAGTAATGACCACTTTCTATGCGAAGGGGGCACTGACTGGGTCCGCTGTACACCAAATCAGCGAAGCCGACCGAGCTTTTGCTGGAAGACACTCGTTGACTCTCATAAACTTGCAGTGTCTAAACAAGCAAATCTCAGAGGACCACATAGGCTTGCTGACAGCTTCATACCAGAACTTGGATGTCTGCAAACAGGAAGAGCAAGGGCATAATGTGAGCCACCAATCCTTTCAGGAGATTTCCTCAAGATAGACACCAAGAATCTCTAACCAGCAAAGAATCACAAGTGCGCTGCCCTGATGCTGTTTCTGCATTCGCCCTCCGCTTGTTCTGACGACGCGAGAGCTGTTGCACCGCAAAGTAAGATGATGACTTACTGTCATCATCGGTGCGTCTTCTCATATTCGTACGCAATTTTCAATAGTTGCAATAGTGCAAAAGACCACTCGCAAGAATCCAGATAACTCACCGATAAGCCTTTCTGCGAGCGGCTTCTTGACCGTGTCGAACTCAGCCACCAAGAATTGGCTCAGAGTCTGCTTGCTGGTCTCTGCGATGAGCCGCTTGATCAGCAGCAGGTCAACGGCGGACGGGTGGTATTTCGCCTCCTGGGGCGCAGCCGGCATGACGTCAGTGCGGCGAGCGAAGTGGATGCTGATGTTCTTGCTGCAAGCAGACGTTGGAGGAAGGCAATGAGAAGGATGTACCCAGATCTCTGTCCTTTCGTTTGCATCTACAGGAGGGCAATCCAATGACAATTAGAGCTTGCTGCGGGGTTGCGGGTCGGGGACCAGACGAGGCGCATATACTGGGGTACAAGACATCGTGGGCACGAGAAGAGCTAAGACAGGATGTCGGTTAAAGCGTGCGAAATGCGTTTGAGCGCTGGCCACTGTTTAAAGGTCGATTCTGTCAGGGATTAGTTGGTCAAGGGTTGTACCGAACCACTAATGCTTTGGCATCTTTGACGACTGCATTCAGGAGCACAGAAGCTTCAGCAACAACGTATTGTAGTAGTAAGCTCCACCGGAAGTTCGTGATCTTGAATGAGCTTAAGTTCGTAATTTGAATTCGGCACTAAGGAAGGCAAACTGCACCCGACTGCCTTAACTTGGCGGGCAAAGTAACTGGGGCCTCACTCGGGGGTGGTGCTGATGAAGCGGAAGACGAACTCAGCGTAAGGGGTGATCACGGCCATCTGCCTCATGTAGTTGACAATCTTCGACTGTACAAGAAGAGAGGAGAGTGGAAGTTCGGACCAAGCTCTTTCCAATCTGTCGAGGCCAATGGACCGTTCAATGGTTGAAGAATCATCGAATGGCACGTGTCCCGATGCACATTTCAATACGAACCGAAAGCGACAATGGCAGCGACTCGGCCTCTGACATCCGACGAGTTAACGGGAAGAACATGAGGAGGCATTATGCGTCAATCAGAAACGTAGGGTTGTGAAGGAAGAAAGATCAGAGGCAATTAGCATACAGAAAAGGAAGAATAAAACGAAGTCCGTAAAGCGACATCCGCACCTTATACGTAGTCCAGTTTCCCTCGATTACCACTTGCAGCTCGGCCCCTCGCCACCGCTGCGGGTTTGGTTCTTTCTCATGTTTGTGAATGTTTGGCAGGTTCCTGCAAACCAGCAGATTGTCTCGTAACCAGTACTTTTCGCCTATAAGAGACTCAAGTCGCTCGGCAGGTAGGAGACCCGAACAGCAAAGAGGTTCGAGGCGAAAGATCCAGACGAGCGATGTAAGTTTGCATCCTCTTCGCTTTTCACCTCGCCGTGACGTTGGGGTCGATCGAGAGGCTGGATTGCATGAAAGGTATCAACGAGACGACCTGATGACGTTAGACTACGATCAGGATACACGAGCATGGGAAAGCTTGGATGTCGAGTGAAGGGCAAAAGCTCACTTGTGGATGTCAATATCTAGCCGGCAGAACGTGCAGAAAGGGTGGCCCTTCATGGCGCTCCGGATGTCGATTGGCAGGCCGGTGCTCATCTTCGACCAGATCAGAGCCTGCCGAAAAGAAAGCCACTGTCTCTTTTCCATGGCGATGTAAGATTCCTAACGGCTAACAGATCTAGAATATCAGTGGAGCCGTTTGGAGTGAAAGAAGTCTGCGGAAACCATAAGAGCGTTTATTCAACGGCAACATGTCAATTTGGTAAAGCTAGCACGATTTTTGAGTACGACTTTCAACCCTCTGCTGCAGACAGACATGTCGAACTTCACTCACCATCTTTGCTCCGAGTCCAAACTTCCCACGAGTCTGTCTCAACCCATATTTGGTCCCAGACAGTACTGCAAAACGATGGATCACGATCAGCCGCTTCGACACGCAACCACGGGGGTGATCGAGAGGTCTAGAAACATCAGAAAGTTCACAACGAAATCTCAAGCTCCAACTAGAGAAAATGAGACTCCCTGAGCCAGTCCCCTGAACCTGTACACTCATAGACAAAGAAACAACTCTCATGGAGCACGCACCTGCGGTAGGATCATGAAAGAAGCAGTCTCACCTCGGCCAAGCATGTTCGGAATGTCATCATGAGGCATGCCCTTTCCATTGTCCTGCAACCAACAATGCGTATCTTTCAACGCCGTAGTCTCAAAGACATGCAGGCAGGTCGTTCAGTGCGTTCTCCCGGCCCTTTCATGCAGGCAACGAAAGCAGAGAGAAGGCTGATACCACTTTTAAGGGTTCCTCTTTCAGAAGCCTCCATACCTTCACTGTGACCCTGTAGAAAGAGGCGTCTCCTTTTCCTTTTCCGCCAGCTCGCTGACCTTCCTTTGCCTTCTTTCCAGCCTTTGCTAGACGCTCCTGCTCCTTTGCTTCACGTGCGAGTCGCTTCTGAGAAAGAAGAAAGCGCCAATGCTCTTCAGCCAGAGGACAGGGTAGCTCAACCTGGGCGGCGTCTAGGATCTTGTAGAGACCTCCTACCAGAAAATTACTGCAACAGAACCATCAAGCAGCCCGCAGGCATCATGTCAACTTTGTGTGAAGACTAAAGCATTCTTACACGAGCAACGCAGAAAAGCCTCAAATTGACGTGGAGGTGAGCGAGGACATACCTCTTTCAACTTGTCAGTCTCAAAGTCTCCATACAGTTCCTCATCAACTCGATCTTGGTCAACAAGTCCGATCAGAGCATGAAACCTTGACTTCTCGATCTCTTCACTGCAGCGAAAGAGGAAGACTGATTTGAAACTTCAAAGTGCGTGCATTCAGCTGAGTCGCTGACCCAAATGATCGTCGAAAAAGTGTAGGATTCCTTGCACAGTTCTAGCAATCAACAAGTTTTAGCAGGCACGTTGTAGCACACCTGACAGCAGAAGGTAACCAAAAGACATCATTTTGGGCAAGAGTTGGAGGGAGATACTTACATTGTCACCTCTATTTCTGGAAGTTCTGCAATAGACTCAGCGGAGTCCAGTGCGTTTTCAACAAGTTCACGAACAGTAGTGTACAGGCTCTTTCCTGGCTGCGCACGACACAAAACCAGGGCCTGATTCCACGGATCTTGAAATGGCAACCTCTCTATAACTTTGAGGATATCAACACGTGTTATAAACAGGCTAGGTCAGAATGAATCGTATATGTGCCCCCAAGTGAGTCAAAGAAGCTAAACTCAATGTTGATGCACGATGTGGGGGAATTGGAGCAGTTTCAAATGAACCAGAGCTTTTGCTACAGCACGGTAGCCGCTTACATTGTCAAACCCCGCTATGTTCTTGTTCTCTGAAAAGAACTCCGCTGGTGACTCTGTTGAAGAAGTGCAGAGAGGTGTAAGCATCTTTTTGTCCCCCAATAGAAGGAAGCTTCTGCTAAGTCGCGAGAAACGCTTTTCATCAACTGGTGCAGTTACATGCTGAAAGTGGTGAAGGCCAGTTAAAAACTGGTGCAGGAAGGGTTTCACAAAGAACTGGCATAAACACCTTCTGGAGGAAGAAACAAATTCCGCCTTCATGCAACCTACTTTACTTTCACACCAGCCCATTGATGAGTTTTCAGCTGTAGATGATCATTCCTCTATGTGTGGGATGCTCAAAGAGAGACTGAGCACAACTTACTCTGCTTCAAGACCGGATGTTTCTTTCCGACTGGCCGCGCAACCTTTCCAGCTTTTGAAGCTGCACCACCATTCTCCTTGCCACCAGCCATTGGCATCACACTGCTTGGGCGAGCACCACCGAATTTACCTGCAGCAATCCATGAAGGTCACCTTGGGGAAGACCAAACCAACACAATGATTCAATAGTAATACGTCAATTGGTCTTTCCACCAAAGGGTCTGCATTGCATGCTGCTGCACGCATTGCAATTTGCACCAAGTCCTTCTGTCGCCCCCTGAAAGGCGCGCGCGCGCGAGCCTGGGCGTAGCCTCTGGTCTACAACTTACAAGTACAACAGGAGCCTGAGGATAAATTTGCCGTGCATGAGTTCTCAGGCTCCTATTTAATTTATGCCGGCTCCTGATCATGCCGGGTGTAAGATTCTTTCCACCTTCCTCGGTGTCCGCACTGAGATGCCCGGGCCCGATTCCATAAGACTTCAATTTAGGTAAAGTAACCTTTAGGTAAAGTAAGCCAAGCAGCCTGGGACGGGTGGGGTTAGTTCGGGGGTTAGGGTGGGTTCGGGTGCGGAGCAGGTGATTTGGAGGGTTAGGTTTTTAGTGTTAGGCTGGGAGCTTACTTTACCTGGAGCTTACTTTACCTAAATTGAAGAGACATCCCGAGTCCCCGGTACGGTAGTAGGTACATCATATAAATATCATGGCTTCGAAGTTTCCGGAGGGCATGCGCAGCGAGAGGCCCCGGTCTGGATGCCCCGGTGTATTATTGTAATCTACCGGTTCTTAGCCATTTGACAGCCTGGCCTAGCAGAAACTTGAAAGGTTGTTTACCAGCAAATTCTTCCAGCTTCCCGGGCCAAACTTACATCCCGAGCGCAACCAGTTGCAACCGCTTCAACGTGAAAGTTGTGTGACAAGCCTGTCTGATGTCAAGTAATACAACCTCCTACTGCTGCTTCCCTGTCCTTGAAGTTGAAGTTGAAGCAGCCATGGCGCCTCATCAACACCTCCCTTTCGTCAACGCTGGCTGAGCGCGAAAGTCGTTTAGGCCGTTGGACCTTCTGACCGCCTCGAGTCTATTGCCTTCGAAGCTTTCTCAGGTTTCTCCAGAAGGTATCTTCAGCACATCGGCATTTCAGGGTTGCAGGCGCTGTGGTTTGAGAGCCTGTCATCTTTCCGGTCACTTCAGAGAGGATGTGAAAGATGGGCGTCACTTCTGGTTGTTGTACGCAGCAGATCTTTGTTTGCACGGGCTGAAGAAGCGAAGACCTGAAGGGAGCGCGGTCTGCAAGGGAGGAAAGAGGACATGCAGGTTGTCAGGTGAGTAATTTCGCCTGAATCTCAAGAGAGCACTACCTAGTGTCTTCTTGTCCTGTATTTCGTTGATGAAGGTCAGGAGGTTTATCGCAATTTTCTAATGCCTACAGGAGGATTCCATCTTGGCAAGTTGCTTGTTGCTTATTGATTTTTAGCTGCATAATTGATTCCGTTGAGGGGCTTTTGCTGTACAGCCATTTTTGTAGGAAGAAAGTTGATGCGGATGTGACAGCAAAACGCGATGGTGTTTGTCTTTGTCCAAGATTTATGCAGTTACAGGGAGAGGCTTGTCAAATGTTCACATGAATCTCAAGCAAGCCTGGCAGGGTCCGCTTTTCAGTTTCTCTGTGCAGTGCTTGCACATTTCCTTTCTTTGGTTCTAGCTTGTGTGGAAGAATGACCCTCCTTTTCAGGTCGTATATGTAGGGTTTCGTTGTTACTGTCGCATGTGTTTCTGTAGTTTTCCTTGAGAGTTAAGATGTTCCTTTACTTCTGGGAAGATTGTTTTGTGTGCGAAAACATCTTACTCTGGCAGAGCCTGATGCAAAGTTCCTAGGGTTCTGCATCCTGCATATCGTTAAGCATGCACTTCATAGGATACTCAGATAAAGTGTCTTCTTGCAGGGCTGAGGATGACATTAGAGGCGACATCCCATCTGGAGCGGGGCCCTGCAACGAGACCTGGCAAGAACATCAAGCAGCAACAAGAAGCCATGTCCTGGACCTGAAGGTGCTCTCTTCCGAGCTTGCATGCTCACAGAGAACTCTGGGAACAGCTAGGGTTTCCTCTAGAAGGCTGGATTTCCTCCTTTTAGGTATTTGGTAACGCTTTTCTGAAGATAGATATTGCTGTCATTGTGGACTGTCAACGCTGCTTTGCCCTCTCGGGTGCGCTCGGTGGGCAGCGGCAAAATTATAAAGAGTTACCAGGGCGCGTCTCCCTCACCTCCCCCTTTCGCCCGGGGGGCTGCAATTTGCAGAAGGTGAGGGAGTTGGGTGCGGGGGAAAGCCTTTGGCCCCTGCATATGGTGAGTGCTGAGGTGAGTGGATTCATTACCGCATCATCATGGTACAGCGGTGTCCTCTGCAAGCCTGTTTCTCCGCCGTTTCTGTTTTATGTATCGTCGTATGGCTCTTCGGTCTGCTTTCAAAGGTGCCGGTGCAGAAGTGCAAGGTTTGCAATTTAGCTTCTTATCAACGCATGACAGCATTTAATTTTAAGATTCACAAGATGAGGCTTTTCCGAAGAGCGACACATATGAGACTTATGCGCAAATTGTACAGATTCCCTTGCAGCGTCTTGATACATATCATTGCAGCGTGGCAATCATAGCAAACGACAAATCTTTTGCATTCCTAAGCGATTTAAGCGACCTGAAAGACGTATCGTTTTAATCAATAGTCACAGTGTGCAAAGTCTTACAGGCTTTGCTCTGAAAATGTTGTTCTTGGTTGATATGCTCAACACTGCACTCAATAGTGCTATTGTGCAAAGGTCGCGGGTCTGCCTGGTTTCATGTTGCTAACTCTTTCATCTTGTAGCTCCTTCCTGCATCATGAAGCAGTGCCGGGAGCAATACATTCCGGTTCAACTTCAGCTGATGTCATTTACCATCTTTTGAAGTCAACGCCGAATACATGCAGCGACAATTGGCATTACCGGTGTGTTGGTAAGTTCCGCTTGTTGTACCAGCATGTCAAGTTCTTACTTCAAACATCATATTGAGGCACCTTCAATTTGACCAAACATGTGACTGCATTCTGCTGCGTTAAAATAGCCCATTAGTGCTGCACATATTGTGCATAATCAATGGAGTCCAATCCGACTACTGTGTTCCGTATAAGTTGAAAAAATATCATGGGTAAGGCTCGAGATCACATATTCTGGTACCTGTTATTCTTAGCTTTGTCAAACTGGACACCACCATCGAATTCTGTTTTCAGTCAAAGTAAACGGCAAATTGCAGTACGAGGTCGAGATAGCCATATATATAAGAAACTTATAATTACAGTCCGTTATTAGATAAGGTGCACAAAGCTCTATTGGCCTCTTGTTTTCCAATGTCTTCCATACAGGAAAGCCTTTTTGGCATTGCTTCGAATCCTGATAATACGAGCGTACGCCTAGGAATCAATCAGCTTTCGTCATATGAAAGGATCAGTGGAGTATCTGGTTGCTCAACCTTCTTGAGAAATCACATCATGGACTTTCACTTTGCAGTCTACTGGACAAATTTTTGAATTCAATGGCATTGTCCTCTAACTTCCTGAGCGGATACGGATTTCACTTGTTGTACAAAGCACACTTGTTGTACAAAGCACTGAGATGGACTCAGATTCCGCAATGACTGACGAGCTAACAAAGTGTGCCCTTGGGTGAATGAAGGGAAGTTGTTTGTTTGTACACAAGCCACACGTGTCGAGAATCCCGCACTCACTCTAGCGCGCGTCCCCCTGTGGCCGCCTGCCATGGGCTTCCTGTGTACATATATTCTGAATTCTATCCAATAGACACATCCACAAAAGATGCATGCAAAGTTGGTAGTGAGTCGGATATCAACAATCGCACTTTAGGTCCGGATTCTCTGATAGGGTTCCTAGTTGTTATCCGGTCGGACTTGAACAGCCGTAGTGCCAACAAATTATCATGCGTTTGTCCACGGTTGCATTTAAGGGCGTTAATCATTTAGAAGTTGCCACCCGGGTTGCTATGTTTTTCATGTGCTCAACCTTGAACCTGCTCGAAGGAGTATTCGTAATTTTGAACATTTTGGCATTTCTTAGTGCCATCTTTCTGAGAGCACTTGTCATAAACATTCTGGCAACACCCGGCACTGTATCCAATTCAATCAATTTGGTGTGGCCATAGCCGACCAGACCGAGTTGTGTCGCCCCTTACAACATGCCATGCATGGCCGAAAATATATATCTTCGCAGAGCTAGATGAAGGGTCCAGACTCCAAGCCATGCAAAAGCTATCGTCCGTTGATACATAGAGTTTCGGATAGGCTTTGCCCGATAGGTCATGATATAGGGTAATCATTGTATAAAATGAGTCCAAGTTTACATATAGCACTTTCACGAACTTCAAAAAAATTGCGTGGCGGCCATGAGAAGCCTATAGCTATGGCCTATTTGGCTACGCGCGGTGTATTTGAAACTAGAGACCCGGATAGGTTATGTCCTATAGCTGAACTTATATGCTCGCATCATGCAGTGCCCGGCAAAATTACTGCATTGGGGCCCTACATCATAGGAGCTGCATGCTATGTTGCTGAGCACTACAATGCATAGGTCTTAGCACAGCATGTGCACATGTGCATTTGCAGTAAATCTAAAAGTAAAGTAGCCATGCAATCTTTGGCACATGTGTAATGGTCAGTTGGCTGCTCGACTTACCAGTACCTATTTTACTAAAATGTTGTGCAAATATATGCGTATGTTCAATTGTGCCTCGATCGGACCACACAATGAGTACACCATACGTTGTGGTTTTCAATTTGACCATAACCTCTCTAATCGTGTTGTACCTTTTCTCTTATTTAGGAAACCTGTAGTGATTGAGCTAGTCTCGACAACCTACTGGCCAACCTCTACTAGTGCAATTTGCCTAGCAGCGGGCTCTACAAAAACCATGAATATGCAATTTCTTTTCGGTTTCTCAGATACCAATTGTTACAACCCGTCGATCCATTTCAACGTTCTTCGCTGTGCAGGATGCTGCTTAAAGTACATACATTTTGAGAGCAGTCTTTCTAGTTGAGCCTTCCGTACTGGCTTAGACAAGTACGAGATCATCCCCGCTTCTCGACACTCTTTTTCAATATCGTTCCCCACGTCTGCAGTCAGGGCTATAATCATAGGCTGCCGCTCTTCTGGGAAGTCGGCCTGGACAAGACAAGAAGGGAGGCCTGAATACGCATCCATTTCAAAAACGTTCACAGAAGAAGGATCCATTCAGAAAGCTTGCTGGCTTCAAGAAAGTCTCCTCGACAGTAACTCAGGAGCGTTTGGTTGCCAAGGAGAATCACCAAGTTCTACGAACCAAGAAGCAATCTAGTGTACATTTAAGATATATTTTCAGCCTTTCAGAAATGTTTGCACCGGGACCTGTCCTTTTGAACTATCTGCTTTCGTCAAGGTTTACAAGAGCTCTCAAGCGGACGAGATACTCACCTTTATCCGTGTGGTGGCTGTCAAGCCGTCCATCTCTGCACCAATCAAAACAAGTGTGTGAGCGAGTTCTTGAGAACTGGTACTTTTTTCACACCTGAGAATTCTTTCACACAAGAGTTTGCTACTTACCCGACAGCTTCAACTCAAAACCCTGAGATAAAAGTTTGGGTGTCCAGCCTAACCAGCCAACTAACCCACCTGTCTCCTAGGCACCTATCTTGCAATGAAATATGTCTTCCAAGTATGTTGACAGGAACTACATACTCTCTCCTAGATACTCTCTCTCGCGACCAGAATGCCTTACAGTGGGACTCGTTAGCAGGCAGGGGCAGGAAGGTGGGCAGGAGGAGATCACCTATCAGCAGTTTTTGGCATGCAACCGAACGGTTCGAAATGTCCACCAATCTGGACTACGATGCCTTGAGAAAGCCAATGTCCCCAACGGTGTCCAAGAGGGTTTCCGAACTGATGTCCTGAATCCTGTCCAAGACTGGGTCCAAAAGAATTGTGTCCAAAAGTGTTCAAAACGGTGTACTCATGGTGTCCAGAAAGAGTACTCATGGTGTCCAGAAAGAGTCCAAAAACGGAGTCGAAAAAATGGTGCCCACAAAAGCGAGTGCTTGATCGGCAAGTACAGATGCACAATCTGTCCTTGCAAAGAAAAAGGAAGACAGCGCATATATACTGGATTACAGAATCCGAAACCGGCGTTCGCACCTGGCATCTGGACGTCCATCAGCACGACGTCCGCCGTGTGCTCTTTCAGCAGCTGCAGCACCTCTAGCCCGTTGCACGCCGTCCGAATGTCCTCATAACCCAGCGACTTCAGCACTTTGTGGAGCACCTTCTGGTTGACCAAGTTGTCTTCGACGACGAAGATTTGGAGCGGGACGTCGTGCGGCGGGGGGGTGCCGTTTGCGGGCAGAGCGGAGGGGGAGGTGAGCGGCGCCGCGGGGCTCTCGTTGGCGAGCGTTTGCAGGAGCGTGGTGTAGAAGGGGTTGATGCGCACCGGCTGGGAGACGCAGATGACGCGCTCCTGAAAAGATTGACACCAGATTGTTTTACGAGCGGTACTGCTAGAGGGAAAGGTGAGCTGGTGTCAAGCGGATGGGGATGGGGTGGAACATACACATGACGCAGTCCTGACACAACGATTCTCAGGAAGCGGCCACTCTGGCAATCGGCTGGAATGGTGTCAAGTGGTTACGCGAGCGCTGGGAATGCAGAGGTCGCTCCCAGAGGGAAGGCTTGATTGGGGTCTCTTCACAAGCCAATGGGCAGACTTCGACAGTATCTCTGGATCTGGACATGAGCTGTGACGGAATGAAATTCGGATGCGGGTGGGTTTTGGAAGCACGGATATAACTCGTGTGGAGGACCGGGAGGAATGGTTGATTATTTTGGATTGGCGATCACAAAGAAGAAGCGCGTTGGAACCAGTACTCGATATAAGTAAGTTCTCGAACGTTCAAAGACAAGTTCCAAATCCTGTGAGTCCGGACTTCTATTGGCCCCTTTCCAAGTCTTCGGAAGAAAAGTGCGCAAAGCGACACCGCCAAAAGGAGGAAAGAACGAAACCCACAAGCGATAGCACTAGCTAAAGGCAACCCAGATTCGGAAGCAAGCCAACGGGCGCCTCTCCGACCCCTGTCACAACTCACCATGGCTTCCATGTCGAATTGGAACACGTTCCGCGTGTTCTTTGACGTCAGCAGCACAGTCGGGATCCCGCGCCCCAGCGCGCACGCGCGGTGCATCAGCTCGATCGCCTCCCGGCTTTCCGCCATCAACGCTTCCAGCTTTCTTGTGTCAAACACGCGCCCCGCAACTGGGCTGTCCACAACGAAAAGGTCGAAACTCCTCCCCTGATCGACGTCCATTCGTTCTAACCTGCCCCCCCACCCGTTTGCACTAACCCCCTGCCGTTTTGCACTAACCCCCTCCCCGTATGTACTTACCCCCTCCGTGTTTCCACTAACCCCCTCCCGGTTTGCGCTAACCCGCTCGCCAGCCCCCGAGGTCGAAGCTTCAACCGACGCGTCTGCTTCTGAAACAGAAACTTCCACCCCCCGCCCGCCGGCGAGCGCTTCCAACTCCTCGACGGAAGTCGCAACGGAAACGTCCAACCCCCACGCCCGGAGCATTGACCCGACCATTCGGTGAAAGGCGCCCCGCGTGCCTACGAGCAGTGCCTTTTTCCCGACGATTGCGGTCGAGGGCCGGTGCAAGATCTCCTGGGGGGACAGGCTGCGCCCGGTGGAGGGTTGCATGGAACCGCGCGCGGTGATCGTCACGAAGAACGTGCTCCCGACGCCTTCTTCGGACTCGACCCACATCTTGCCGCCCATGCGCTCCGCCAGGTCCTTGCTGATCGCCAAACCGAGACCCGTTCCTGCAAAGTTCATACTAGGATTAGAAGGAACAAGGAAGAGGACGTCCGATTGGGTGGAGAATGCAGCTTCGATGCCAGGCCCGGAGCCTAAGCAGGCGTTTGCTGATGGCCAATCCGAGACCCATTCCGCAAAGTTTGGAACCGAGTTTAGCAATGAGGAAGAGGAAGAGTGCGCATCTGACTAGGTATTCGAAGTTTGCACGTAATTCGAAGACAGGCTCAAGGCCTGTGCAGGCCCTTGCTAATGGCAAACAGAGACCAGTGACTGTAAAGATTCACACAACTTGGGACAAGGAAGAGCACACGTCTGACTTGGTAGTAACCGCAGCGCCCTGACTTGATGCCAGGTGCAAGCCTGTGCAGGACCTCGCATACAAATCAAGTCAAGCCCAGTCCCTGCGATCTGGAACTACTCCGAAAATCTCAAGTGAAATGAAGGAAGTCTGCAGCGAGACGCTAGGACCCACCTGTGCAGGCCCTCGCTACTGACCAAAGCGAGACTGCAAAGGTCCAAAACGAAATAGAAGGAACAAGGCAAAGCCTGGCTACCGCCAGAAGCGGTTGTCTCACTCAGGCCGAAGTAGACTGGCTTTACACAGGCAGATGTGACGACCCACCTTCGTACCGCCGTGTCCGCGAGTTGTCGCACTGCGTGAACGCCTCGAACAGCATCTTCTGGAATGTGACCGGAATCCCTATCCCCGTATCCCGCACGGCGATCGTGATCCGATACTCCGGCAAGTCTCCGCTTTCGTCAAATCCTGTGCCGGACGGAGCCCCCCCCCGCGGCGAGAGGGGGCCGTCAAAGCCCTCCTTGGACAGCTGTCGCCGGAGGCGCTTGGCGGAGACGGAGACCTCGACCTCGCCCCCCTCGTCGGTGAACTTGGCGGAGTTGCTGAGCAGGTTCGTCAGGATTTGGCGCAGGCGCACCTCGTCGGCCCAGATCCAGCTGGAAAAAAGGGAGGGGGGGAACGTATCTGCAAAAGCGGTAGGCTAGGTCGACATCGTAATGTCAAAAGCGGGGGAATATGCTGATTGTAGCAGCGGAACGGGGGTAAGAGGTCGTATCAGGAAAAGGCGAAGGGACCCTGGAGTCAGCAGTGGAGGGAACAAAGGGTCAGGGAAGCATACGCCGATAGACTGTTTGTCCGGTGGGTTAGCCGGACGGGTTAGCAAGATAAGAGACTTACGAACCAGGAATATGCTGAGCTCTTAAAAGCTGATTTCGCAAGATACGGAGTAAAGAAAGTAACGTATTCGGCGCAGGAGGCAGATCCACTAAGAAGGTGGACACCCTGATGCTGCACGTCAAGTCTCACAAACAACAGGAGTCATTCCACTGAGTTCCCCATTCCTGGGTCCCGTGCCAACAACACAATCCGTCATGACGTTCTCGCTGGTAGTTCTTTACCTCAATCTGCCAACCGTTCGTCCGTCAGCCTCTGAATACGCATGTCTCCTGGCAAATTGCTCCTCGCACGCCAATTCACTCCGCTCAAAAAAGGCTCCGTTCCGAAGTCCAAGAATTTCTTCAAGAAACTGAAAGGAACCCTCGACCCAGCGCCGGGAATGTATTGGCTCACTCTGGCACGCTCTCGTCCATGTTGTAGGAGAGGTAGAGGCCCTTGTTTTCGCACTTGAGCACCAGCATCTCCATGCAGAAGTCGAGGCAGCCCCACAGGTTGAACTCCGAAGCTTTGAGCTCCATCTTGCCTGCGTCCATCTGCAGAACGCAACGGAGGGACGTTCAGACAGGAGCACACATGCTCTGGTTACGGTAGCCAAGTCACAGGTCAGATTGGCAGGAACGCTGAAGGCTATGTATTTTTCTCCCAAGCCTATTCAAACCTGTTGTGATTTGTCCAGGTCCGTTTCACTGACCAAAGTTCGTGGACCCTCCCTCCGATGCCCCACAAATGATGCCCCCCGGAGGACTGGAAAGTCTACATGATAGCCTCCCCCACAGTTGCTGATCAACTCCGGTGTTGGAGCAAGCAGCTCAATGAACGCACTATCGTCGAAGTCGGCAACTTCCAGTCAATCAAAAGCGACTCAGCCCAACCAAACCCTCAGAGCTTTACGAGCCAACAGTCGCCCTGATCCAAAATGCTCGAGAATATCAGAGTTGAAAGCTCGCCCTGCCTACTTCCAAGGTCGTGGGAAGCTCTGACAATTCGCGTACCCCAGGAACCCCTGAGATCCCACAACTTCAGTACGTGGAAACCTTGGAAGTCTGAAGACCGCTATGACAAATTTTGAAGGCCGAAAACCATGGCTTTCTCTAAGTCGAAAAACCCCTAAAACCGTGGAACAACTCACCTTGCTGAAGTCCAAGATGTCGTTGATGAGGCTGAGCAGCTGCTGGCCCGAGCCCTGGATCATCTGGGACAGCTCACGCTGTTCGTCCGTGAGTGACGCCATGTCCGTCAGCAGCTGACTGCACGCCAGGATGGCGTTCATGGGCCTGCAGAAAAACAGAGGGCTCTCAGAACTAGGGCATTAGTAAAGCTGAGTTCGGTCAGAGCAGCCAGGACGGACCGAGCACGCAAGGAGATGCAAACAGAAAGGCTGGGAAGGCATGTATGGGTCTGGGCGAGGTGGGACTTAATGGAGAAGAGGGCAAGCATGGATAATGAGGTGGCAAGCAACCGGGCAAAAGAGAAGTGAAGGGGGACGGACATTTAGCGAGCTGACGAGGGCAGTTGTGACTTTGATATAGTGGTGGCCTGTGAATTACTGAAACTCAATGTTGTGCTTCGCAGCCACCGTGGTGCTTGCTGAACGCCCCGGTCGAAAGTGGTCGAGACAACGCACTCTTCCCTAATCAGTGCCTTTCCTATGAACGAACAACCGTTTAGCCTACCCAGAGGATGTCAGCAATCAGGCGCAACCGCTCTGCCAGGCTTTCCCGTTTCCAGAGGCGCAGAGAGAATTCTTTTTGCAAACAAGAATTTGCAATCTAGTGCTGCTTTATATCCGGACCGAAGTGTCAAGCTATATAACCATCAAAGAGGCCAACAAATCGCAACTTAAAAGTGGGCGTCGGATTAGCACCTTACAGAGTTTCAGTTCTGAAGAAGGCTGGAGGGATGCTCGAAAAAGCCAACTGTGAAACATCAACTTGGGTTTCCACAACGTGTATGTTCAGGTCACTGCATTCGTAAGTCCAGAGGGCCACATCAGGCAACACGGGGGATTGCAAAACTCACGTCCGGATCTCGTGGCTGATGTTGGCGACGAAGGAGCGCTTGGCGCGCACAGATGCTTCCGCCTCTAGTTCCTGTAGCCGAATAGCTTCCAGCTCGAGCTCCTTCTCCTTGCGCAACGTGCAGTCGGAACATATGCCGAAGTAGTACCTAAACATTCAGGAGTGATGTCATCGGTGAGAAAGGTGTGACGTCAACAAAGCTGGTCGTGTCGTGCTTCGGACACTGAAGCCAGACGGGCCAACCGACTGAGTAGAAGAAGTGCAAAGGACAGAAGCTGGTTGACTCGACACCTACGACAGACAAGTGACTCCTAACTTTTGAAAGTTTCTGTCTGCTGATGTAACTGATGATCCTTGTGCAACCGCAGAATTCCCGCTTCCGCTTGAGTAGTGGCCCCATGCTGAAGCGCTGTTTCAAAACCCCTACTTTTGATCCGAAACAAGGAAACCTCCTAAAACGTCCGCGCACCTGCTGCTGATGTCAGCGGGGCCGTCGCCCCCGAAAGACGTCCCCTTCGGAAACACCACGGGACGTATCCGGAGCCAGTTCCAAAACGGCGTGCCATCCTTCCGGTAGTTGAGGATCTCCACCGATGCGGAGCTCCCCTCTTGGCAGGCTGCGGCAATCAGCTGCTTTGCCTTTATGTCGGTCAATGGGCCCTGCAGAGAAACAGAGCAGATGCTCGGTGTCAATATGGGAAGGGTAGAATCCAAGGGTGTATTTTTATCAAAATGACGCTTGCCATTCGAAAGTGACTCAGTAGCCGTCATTGTCGGATGAACGATTTTGAAAGGGGTTCTGAGGACGGACGAAGAGCTGCCGAGGATACTTACGTAAAACAAACAAGCGTAGCATGCGAATCAAGCAACGGCAACAATAGTCGACAAAGCGAAACATGCAAACATGCAAACATGCTGAATCCGCTTGCAACCCAAGTCAACCTCTTCTGATCTGAACTTGACATGGCCTTCATTGGTTAAATTTCCAAGATCTTCACGTTTCCTTTGAAGTTCTCGTGGTTGCTAAGTCTCCTTCACGCGACTCGAAACACCAGAAAGAGTAACCACAGGCGAAGGTATTGGCTCCCTCACTACAAGCAAGATTCGGTGAGCTCACCTCTAGCAGGCTGCCGCAGTGCAGCCCGAGAACGTCTTGAATGGAATATCCGGTGATCGTCTCCCACCCCTCGTTCACAAACACAATCGGCTGCCCCTTTTGGGACACGTCACACAGCACCAGCCCCTCGCTGAACGCGTCTGCAAGCGTAATAATATCCGATTTGAGAGAACGTAATCGAAAATCAAAGGGGCCCGTGCGCATGAAAGTGCCCTTCTAGAGCTACTGAAGTGGAGATATTTGCTCCGTTGAGAGACGTGGAGAGAAAGGTTTTGAATCGAATCAGCAGGTCTGAATATAAGGCAGCAGGTCCGAGGACTAGTCGGAAGAACGGGCTCCAACCCTTCGCTCACAAAACCCCAAGCTGAGTATGGTCTGCACATTGTCATTCGGAACACCGGTCCTTCCTCTCACGTTTGGTTGGTCGACAGCCTTCTCCCCAGACAGACAACTCCTTTGCCACAACTCCCGTCCTGTTGCATCCTCTTGGATAAGGAATCGAAAGTGATTTCAGTCCTCGAGAAGGGAACTAACCAATGGCCTGCAACAAGCCCCGTTTGTCCTCCTCGAACCTCTCAACTTGCAACCGCTGCAACTCCAACGCCCGCGTGTGCTTCTCGATTTCCTGCGTCCGAGAAGAGCAAGTTCAGACGCTGCCTGAACAGACGGACAATTTGGACCTTATCCGAGGTCTGAAACAGCTATACTTCAGCAGATGACGGATGCAAGGTCCCGTTTTCTACCTGCAGATCTAGCAGCCCTTGCGACCTACACCTAGACCTAGAGACCTAGCAGATTCGTAGTGGGCGTCCATATCAAACACACTTGTTATTTGGACAGACAGAGGGCGGAAAGGAAGAGCTTTCTCGGCAACATCAGAGCGCTTTGACAGGCAAGAGGGGGATTTGTGAACCCACCAAGACAACCAGCTGCGCCAATGAAATCAGCATCTCCTGCTCTTCCGCGGTGAACTGATCCCGTGGCTCGAAATCAATTATGCACCTGTGCAGTGAGTAAAATATGGCGACTGTGATTGGCAGAAGACGACAACAGACAGCAAGCCGAAAGGTCAGTGCTTGCGAGTCAGCTCAGAGAAGACAAATGAAACCCGGGTTTCATTATGGTTGTAAACCTGGAGAGAACTCATTTGAAGCACAATGCTGACTGTTCCAACGGCCTCTGACTTTCGAATAAGTGTGTTCTCTTGCAGAGCGCCTTGCTCGTAGTTCTTAAGAAGGACAACACCATGGTCGACAGAGTCAATGATCCATCTACTTAATCCAGCTTCATTGCAGGCTTCATTCTTGCACTTAGGAAGAAATCAAGAAACGCAGGGGTAAACGCTCACAGTGAGCCCAGCACAAAGTTGCCTTGCGTGACCAGGGGAGCGCCAGCATAAAACCGTATGTGGGGCTCCCCAATGACCTGCAAACAGGACCGAGAAAATCGTCACAAAACTCACGTCTGACCACATTTTAGGAAATCAATCAGTGCGGAGGCAACCCCACTACAATATCTGCAGCTTGATGGCCAGTCGGGATGGGCGGGATTGGGACTAGTCCTTGTCAGCTGTCGGTACCGACCCCAAATGCAGGACCGTACAAGCACGCAGATCCTCCTGTGTGTTCTGGCGCACAAGAGGCTGCTTTCTACAGATTTTAGCTCCAGACAACCTGCAGATTGTTCAGGAACGACTCTGATCAAAGCGCGGGCCAACAATGGGCAAGTGCAGTCAGCTTGAGCTGGAAGCCTCCGAGACTTACCAGCGGGTTTTTACAGAAGCGGCCGTCCTTAAGGGCGTCGCACACGACGAGGACTGGGTCCACACTGCACACAGAATCGGAGCAAGTGAGCAATCTTCACATGATGCTGCTTCTGCGAAAGACTCCGCACTTTGCTTGACATACTCGCTGACATCACACTCACTGCAGACGGAACCTGCGATTTGCTTGTGTAGCAAATCTTCTGCAGATGCTAGAAGAGATCGCACCTGCAGCTTGATGAATAGTACAGATCCCCCCCACCAACCCCGGCCTATTCTACGTCGAAACTGTAGTTGACACTCTGCCGTGCTCTGACTAGGAGCTATGTCCAGAACCTGCCTCCCCTACAGCGAGACTAGAGTCAACACTTTGCCAAAGTTAGAAATAAGTAATACTTCTCTTCTTCAGGAAAACTGCCATGTCAATCAGCAAAAAATACAAAAATGGCCCTGAAATATGGGGCCACGTGCCTGAATAATGAGAGCAAAGAAACAAAAAGGCCTCAAGAAGGGCGCCAGAGTAGGGCTCAAGACCTCTAAAGACCTCGAGACCTTTCAATGCTACAAGACCTCGAACTTTTACAGAGGTGGTGACGCTACTCACGAGGGCAAGAGCGCGAAGGCACAGAACGAGCTCGCGCGCTCGGTCTGGGGGCACCCGGGCAGGCCGAGGTTCGACTTAAACCACTGCCGATGCTCGTCAACAAGGGACACAAGAGCAACAGGCGTCTGCAGAGGGGAAGAGCGGGCGGTGAGAACGGGGTACTCACGAGGGGAGAATGACGTATTGGCAAAACGACAGCCAACGGGGAACTTCCCTGGGAGCCCCGGCGAAGCCAGTGTTTGATTTCCACTGGGTAATTTCGGAGTCAGTCAGTGTGATGAGAGACACGGTGGTCTGCAGTAGGGGGAGAACACGCGGTAAGGAGCGGGGGGGCAGTAAGGAGGGGGGAGCAGTCTGTCCAAGCGCTAAAATCTGCTTCTTGACTATTCCCTCTGCTATTTAGCACCAGTCTGTATCCACGTTCTAGGTCTCTCATCGCTAGGACTCTCTCTTGCCGTCTGATTTGAGTCCTAACGGAAGCACCAATGAAGCAAGCATTGCGTCTTTCCTATTTGGAAGGAAGCCAGTGCTCCATTGGAGTGGAAGAATTGCCGTCATGCCCTTTCTGAGACTGTCAGCTCAAACCGAACGCACTTAGGAAAGCAGACCCGAAACACCCTTGGTGAAGCCCCTAAAGCATGATTCAGCACTTTACCCCCGCGCTTTGGGGCAAAAAGCTCTCATATCTCAAAAAACTCCACCCTCTGCACCTGATATGGTACTCGAGCACTGAGTGGCAAGAGCCCCAAGTTGTTTGGTACACATTCTTGTCAACCCTCAAGGAGAATAAGACGCTGCTTGCTCACATGGAAGATCATCGACGCAAGGGCGGTGAGTCGATCATACCGGGGCTCTGGCTCCTGCAAACAGAAGCAAAGCAGCCGAGTCACAAAGAGTATCCCCTTGTCTGGCTGCTGTGGAAAGTGTCAATGAGATCGAGCGGCTGTTTGGAACAGATCTGGAGTCTCCCAAGAGGAGTTGCTGAGGCCTCTCGTGGCAGCTTCAGATGTTCTCTCCAAGTTGACGAAAGTCTGGCCCTCTCGCACAGAGACCACCATAGAAAGGTCTTTACACATACTGCCTCTTGAGCATCCAATGAAAATGTGATGGAAAATGTAATGAAAAATGTGATCCATGAGGTATTGGCCTTGACGAGCTCGGCAGCACATCGACCTAATAAACAGCCCCCACAACGTATGGCATCGATCGGGTGTCTTACCGTGTCTAGGATATTATAGCTCCTCAACACGTTCACGCGAAATTCCTCGTTGCTTGGCTTAGGGGCCCCCTGCAGAACCATAACCAGACAGCGGTAAGTCATAACCAGGCAGCGGTGAGTCATAAACAGGCAGCGGTGAGTCATATGGTACCAGGCAGCGGTAAATCGTAAACAGGAAGCGGTAAGGCAAAGGAAGAGACTGTCCTCAAGAAAATTTTGACGCGCCATTTTTAATCAGAACTCAAAAATGACCCGATAAGTAAGTCGAAGGACTTATGAGGGGCACAATATGCTTTAATAGATACCCAAACCCTAATTCAAAGACCCAAAGAAGGCACCATTCAAGATACAGACGTTTCTTATGCTCAACGCACTTGGGGTTCAGCTGAACTTCGTCGCCCTCTTTCAATGCCAGCGCCGTCTTGAGAGAGTGAAAGATACTCAAGAACCGCGACGATCGGTGGAAATTTGTTAAAAGCGACTTTCACAACGCCAACTCATTTTCTCCAGAGGCGCACCGCCTCATCGAGCCCCACACCTGTGGATCATACTCGGACTCTGGCCCTGGTCGCATCACAAATCCCACCGGGCTTGGCCGCCTCGCCGCGGGGCAAACAAATGGATCGTGCTGCAAAGGGCCGACGCAAGTGAAGCCAATGCCTGCTGACGTCATGTCTGAGGTGGCAGCGGCCCCCCAGGCGGGGGCGGATGCCACCTTGGTTGCACGAGTGTCATCGCCCGAGGACGGCCGCTTGACGCCCCTAGAGGAAGGCCCGTTTGCATGCCAAGGCTCCTCGTGCTGGTCTGAAGAGCGCCTCGCCATGTTTGGCGCCCTTGGGACTTGTCAGCAGTAAAGTGGCCGAGCTGTGGCGAACAAAGAGACCAATCAGATGGTTGGGAGGATCAAACGGTGCACATGGACCCCACAGTTGATATGAATCAAAAGTCGAGATGGATCCAGTTTCTAGGTGGTGCATAAGGATCCGTGTCAGGATCTAAAAGCCCCAGGATTTGGACGAACAAGTGGAGAAATATGACAAACCCTAAGACTTAGAGTCACAACACAGACAGAATCCCACAGAATACCTGAACATGATTCATTGTCGCCTGGGAACACCTGAGACAGACGTGTTCCCCAAAGCTGTAGGTTAAATGCTTACTGAATCAGATAAAACATTCTGCTTTATCTGATTATTGTTGAAAACCTTCCCTAGTAAGTTATGATTTCAGGCATGGCAGTTCACAGCAACAAGAGTAAGCAGGTCGAACTAGCATCTTGAAGTGCCACAGCAATAAGATACTTTCGAAAATAACTCAGAGCTTGGATCTAAACACTGCACTGGCCGTTGCTAAAGTTGACCAATGTGGACTCCCTTCATATCATTGACGATGAGATAGCCAACCCAAAATGGGGACCAGAAGTTGATCATGACCAGTAACTTTGAGCCAATAAGGCATATATTCTTTCCATCTCTCACCAGGGAAGTCTTGCCGCACCCTTTCTTTTCACTTTGCCCCGAAAATTTCCATCGAGGCCATCCTGAGTCTCTGCTAATCTGCGCCCGCGCTCTTGACGATATCTTTACCAAGGTGGCCTCCCCTGTCCTGAAGTTTCAAACTCGAATGCGAGCTCGATTCGGATAGGCAGAGGAACAGAGAATCTCAAGGAGACGGTGCCACGGTCCACCCCTTGCAGCAGTGCAGCCGCCATGCCATGATACAACTTCAATTTACGAAGTCGCGGCATCAGCCTACACCCCGTTCTAGCCTCTATGTGCGGTCTAGACACGTACCGCCGCCGGGACTGTCACCGGTGCAAGCGCAGCAGATTTAACGGTACATAAACTATTGTTACGAGTGTTGAACACCCACGAAAACGTGGAGTCTAGCTTTCTATGTCGTTTGTTTTAGTATCTATCTATCTTTTTTTTTTTTTAATTAT